AATTGGCAAAATTTGTATGTCATGTTTTGGTATTTGTTTCATGGATTTTGGTATGTGGATAAAGATATGAAGCCGAATTCAAAAAGTGCCTAGTCAAAACGTTTGTATGGTTCTGCCAATTTCACTGGTTTTCGAGCGGAATCTGCCAATTCCTCCAGCATTATCTGCCTAGGGCTGGTGTCAGTGGGCCTGCATTATGCATGCACATGTACATGTACGTACATGTACATGTACATGTACATGTACATGTACGTACATGTACATGTACATGTAGGTCTACATGAATGTCGGTGAAAAAAAGTGCATGTACAATGTACAGTGCTGGCAACTGAAATCCGACCCCCTAGCGGTCCGCTAGCCGCGTTAGCGATTCGTACGAGACGGTAGGGGGTCGGATTTCAGTTGCCAACACTGTAGGTTGAGGATGTTTTTTATTTTTTTTAATTTATTTTTTTTATTTTTATTTTTTACTATGTTCACACTCCCAGCTCGAAAATAATAAAGAAAGACAATGATACTGAGACTAGGACGAACGTGACAACTATTGAGCAGGGGCTGCACCGAGGCGCAGCAGTGATGGTGGGGCATTGATGGCTCTGCCGACCTGAGGTCTCCGCATCAAGGCCAAAAACACGCACCAAAAACAAAAGATAGAGCTGTACGAGTCAGCAAAATGAAAAGAAAGGAAGGGTTAACATCAGCGAGTGTGCGGGAGAAACTGTGAGACTATTAACAAATTACAAGGGCTGTTACTGAGAGGAGCATCATCATGGCTGATCATGGCGAGTCGGTTGTCTGAGCCAGTTGTGGTGCATAGATAGGGATAGAGGAGAACGACGAGAGCATCATCATAGCGAGTCGACTGCCCAGAGCCAGTTTGTGCTTCGCAGATGGCGATAAACATTAGTTTTGAATGCTTGCATTCCCTTGCTGTGGGGAGGCTGGGACAGAAGAGCGGCGGGGAGGGAGTTCCAGTCATTAATACTGCAGTGTGGGAACGAGCGCTTTAATGCCAGCGGGACAGATGCAAGCAGCTGGTGTTGGAGCCGGTGGTCATGGCCAATGACGTTACCATGCTCGCTGCGAGTTCTGGGGCTGGATGAGGGGAAATGGCGCGGTGGCAAAACAGAGAGCAGCTGTGTAGGGCCAGGCAGGTAATGCAGCTTGTATAGGCAGGCAAGCGAGGCAACAGTACGACGGATGGCCAGGCTAGGTAATAGTGCACCTGGACCGATGATTCGCTGAGCACAGCGTTGGATATGATCCAGGCGTTGCAGGTAGCTGGGCGGAGCACCTATCCAGACGAGGGGGGCATACTCCATAACTGGTCGAACAAATGCCTTGTATACTGTGGTGCGGCCGGCTGGAGAGAGAATGTGCGCTGCACGGCGCAGGAAGCCCAGGCGTTGTTTGGCTCGAGTGGCAACCTTCCGGAGATGAGTGCTGAATGACAGCTTCGAGTCAAAGGTCACTCCAAGTAAAGAGAGAGCCTTCTCCTCAAGGACAGGAGTGCCGCCGAAGACAATGCGAGGCAAATTGATGGGGGATCTGCGGATGTACATTGTACATGTAGGTTGAGTTGTATTAGATAACATGGTTGAGTTGTTCTAGACTACAGCACCGGGTGTTAGCGGCCGTCGTGAGTTCCCTTCGGGAACGGACACGATAATTTACTTTTTTAATTTTTAATTTTACAGCACTGGGAGTCCTCTAATGATAATAATAATTACTAGTATACGTACATGTATGCCTGTGACAACATGGTTGAGTTGTTCTACAGCACTGTGGGTCCCCTTAACTATGCCTGTGTATGACACATCTAAACAATCGTACACATGATGTACATCTCTGGCCAGAGAAGTCCGACCACATGAGTAGCGCCGCGCTCAAGTGAGTAGAGCTAGAGGGGAGGCTAGGCCTATGCTAGAACGGTGTAGCCCTCGGCGCTATTATGAGTAAAAAAGATATAAGTCATACATGTACGGTTGGATTTCTCTGACCAGAACTGTCATTCTACCACAATTATGCATGTCCAATTATGCATGTCCAATCATGCATGTCCAATTATGCATGTCCAATCATGCATGTCCAATTATGCATGTGCACACACGTGCACGTCCAATTATGCATGTCCATACATGTACATGTGCATGTCTATGGCATTGCCAACGCTGCTGATGCATTAGCTGATCACGCACAATAATAATAATTATTATTATTGGATACCTCCAGGGGGAGCGCCGTACAAAACATGAATTCCTACGCTGTATGGCCTACTCACTACTCCTAGTACTAGTACGGTGACTACTGAGTACTGCTAGTATTGTGAAACGATTTGCCCAGTTGCGGTGTTATAATGATAAACCCTAGGCGAAGTGCTACGTGCCAAGCAATATAAACTATCCTCGAGTCCATACCACTTAGCGCATGTGACGAATCCTAAGACTTAGTGATATCTGTCCAGCCTGAGCTTCAGTGGCAACGTTTTGTGCAACGAACCATCTGTGATAGACAGTAAGGATCCTAAGGACCGCTCGCCAGGACTGTCATCTTTGAAGTCGAGTGTGTGATCGTCTTTGACGATCACAGGTTTCGCCCGAGATCAAAACCAAAAAACTCGTTGCTTCGAAATCTCCAGCATTACTATTGATTACAGTAAAGTGCAGGTGAATAGGTTCGTGCTGTATGCATGTACAATGCACGCATATACAATGACAACAAAATACATGTACATGTACATGTACATACATTTGTTAGATTGACAGCATGAAACAAGGAGGAGGACACTGTGTTCGAAAACAGTGACCTTACTACAACCTTCCGCAGTGGGCAGAGCCCCGGTCCCTGCGGACCATTTAAACCATATGGGTATCGCACCCGGAACTTCTGACCATCGTTATGCTTGGGGGTTAGGAGACTACTCCTGATGTCGTCTTGTTATCTTCGCTCTTTTTAACTTGTATAAAAACAAAACTTTTTTTTCTTTCCAACTTTTGGCCGAAAAAGAGCGAAGACAACAAGACGACATCAGGAGTAGTCTCCTAACCCCCTAGCATAACGAGGGTCAGACCAGGGTGCGATACCCATAATTATGGTTCAAATGGTCCGCTGGGACCGGGGCTCTGCCAACCGCGGAAGGTTGTAGTAAGGTCACTGTTTTCGAACACAGTGTCCTCCTCCTTGTTTCAGGCTGTCAATCTAACAATTGCGTGAACTACAACAAGATTAATCTAATACTGGTTTACCAGTTTTTGGATTATATCATATGTACATACATGTACGTACAATGTACATACATGTACACCCACATGCGCCAGAACGACCCAGAAGCCAGATTCGCCCGGATGGCTCACTTGTTGACGAACACACACCTACCTTGTACATGACATGTAGACGGCAGAACAGTTTCGGATTGTTACCTTGATTTTGAGCTAGAGCGGCCATTATACTAGGAATCATAATTATAATTCCTACCGCAGTTGGGGCCCACTGGAATCCGACCCTCGTTTCATAGCGAATAGCTCCGCGGCCGGGCCAAGTGCAGCAGAGCAAACTCCCACAATGACGCCACAACTCCCCCAAAAGTCAAAAAGTGCCTAAATCTAACACTGGAGAGCGCATAACAATCATGACATTGTAATAGCATTGAGGCATCATTCTACAGCTTCACAATTCCATGGAAAATGGCGAGCACACAGGATCCTTCCCTGGCCACTGAAAATTCACAACTCAGTTCGATGATAATGATACAGTTGAACATCGATTATCCGACCACCTCTGGGCAGACAACTGTCAGGCGGTGTTCAGATAAGGCAAATGTTCCGGATAAGAAAACACACTGTAAATACATGGTCATGTACATTGTAAATAGAATAGAGTGCTACTTTTCAAAATTTTCGTATTTTTGAATGGCTCACTACATGCACAGTGCGTACTCTACGGCACGTGCGCCCAAAAAACTGTTACGGATAATCGAATGGTCGGATAGTCGACGTGCGGATAATCGATGTTCAACTGTAAAATAATAATAATACTCAGTAACCAGGTAACTGTCATGTACAGTGAACTGAGTTGTGAATTTGCAGTGCCCGGGGAAGGAGCATGACTGTTTTCTCATTGAAGCGGATAATACTTCAGAATTGTCATCAATATGAATGTTGCATGGCAACGGGGGGCTGGAGTTTATTGGCACTGCACATGGCCAAAATTCTGCTGCAGTACTTTCACGACAAGTAAAACCACATTTTGTTTAAATCGTATGATGGTCAGCAAAGCAAACCAAGCAACGTCGTTGAATCCTGCCGGTCTGCTACTGCTTCAATACAGTGCATTGACCCACGCAAGCACCATATAGCCGCGAACTACTAAAAGTCCGCTCGTACTCTCCAATTCAACCGTTCATGGATTTTACAGGTCCCCCAGTACTCAATTCTGCTAATCAACCTCAACAAGTCTGACCCTGGGAAAACTGGTTTTGCTCCGCGCACTGTCGGGCTACGCCGCACATTTCGCAATCCTTGTGTATAGAAATACAATGTGCACTCAGAAGCGTAATGGAAGCGGCAGTGCCATACTCCTATCTAGCATAATTCACAGGCAACCAGTGAGCCATTTTCTACGGTTTATCAAAGAGCAGGATTCCAGGCGTAGACGACTACCCTACAAAACCAACCAACTGCTCTGCGCTATCCTCGAGCTGTAATGGCATGCTGCAGACCCTGGTAAACTCTGTTGTTGTTGTGTTGTGTGTCGTGATTGTGTAGCGCCGTGCATGCTTGAATCGCGTGAGCTTCCGTGACTGCAGCGTGACATGCACTTTGCGGTACGGTGTACGGTGCAGTGAGGGGACCGGCGGTGTGGAAACGTTGCTAGCTGCAACGCAAAGTGCGCTAGTCACACAAGGTCAAGCACCAGGCACGGTTCACCTAGGTCACATCCAAGGCAGGTATACGCACGAGGAGTGTAGATTTACGCTCTTGCACTTTGCAGCCGAGGATCCTTCGCCGAAAAGACTAGTAGTAGAATCTACGATCCAAAGGAAGGTATGGCTTGCTGGATACTAGTACTGTAGTGTAGTGGAGCGTCGACTACCAGTGCCAACACTCGACCGCGGTACCGAGGTGTCGCATGTGTTCATTCGTGGTCGGGAGTGCAGCGGACATCCTCGGTGTCTTGAGGCGGCATCAGTACCTAGCGTCACTTCCACAACAAGGAAGCTGCGTGTCAGCAGTGTTTTCTTGGCTTATTGAACCACGAGACTCTCTGGGGCTACCGTAACACACTATTGATAGCCGTTCTACTGCTGGGATTGCCAGTGAATGCCTGCATCTTTACATCTGAATTAGAACGGTAAGCGAAGAAAGGAAGAAAGCTCGAGGGTTGCTCTCCAAGTAAACCTCGCCATGGATCGACAAAAAACTGGTGAGCTTTTCAGGCGAATTGCCAGCAACGAGGCAAGCCGTGAAGAGCTGGACGAGATGCTGCAGAGCTTCCCCAGCGACGCGACCATTGTGGACGGATTTGGCTTTCCCGCCATCAACTCAGCGGCCATGCATGGCAATCACACTGCCATCGCTGCACTACTCGACTGTGGAGTTGACCCGCACACCAGAGATCCGAATGGACACACGCCACTGATGATCGCGCTGCGAGGCAGAGGCGACGGGTTCACACGGACAGTGGATGCCATTCTGGAGGCCTCTACTAAAAAAAGCAGTGAAGAGAGCAGTGATAGTGGAGATTGGATTCACCTGACGGACAACCAGGATATGACTGCGCTGCACTTCGCTGCTAGGTCAGGCGACTCGAACACTGTGGAGAGGCTTGTGGCTCTGGGAGCTGACTTACAGAGAAAGGATAGCAAGCGACGCACGCCACTGCACTACGCCGCACTGAAGGCCCGCTTCCATGCCGTACAGACTCTGCTCCGCCTGGGCTCCAAGGTGGACGCTACGGATAACGAGGGCAACACGGCCGCAGTGTGCTGTGCCTTGGAGCTGCCGCACGTACACGAGGCGGCTTATCGTCGGCGCCTGAGCAGTGTCGGCGATATGAACATGCCCGCTGGCATCGGTCTCACTTCCGAAGACAAACGCGAAGAGGACTGGAGAAGGGCAGTCGTGGAGGTCCTACTTGCCGCTGGTACGGAAGTTGACCGGGCGAACAAGTGGGGACAGTCGCTGGAGCTCCTCGGCAAACGCCACCGCTGGGTTCGTGTTGCACTAGGGGAGGAGAATGAGGATAGCTGCTCATCCCAGGACAGCGAGAACGGCACCCCGAACAAGCTGCGGAGACGAAGCCGGCGAGGCAGTAGCAATGTTGCCTCTCTGAGTGTTCCTCAGCTGCGGAAACGCCACGGAAAGCTCTCCGGCGGTGGATCTGGTGTGCAAGAAGTCGGAACGGACACACGCAATACGCCAACGCCACTGCGAGACAGCTCTGTGGAAGACGATGCATTTGATGAGGTCACAAACTCTGATGAGAAGCCAGCAGAAGCGGATACTACGCCCAGCCTACAAGAAGAGGAAAGTGCTGAAAAGCCAAAAAAGCTGTCGTGGGAGGATATAAAGCGCACTGTGAAGATTGTCGCTTTCTTTGTTGCTGCTCGCTACATTGCTTTTCATGTGGTTGGCTGGTGGCATTCAAGTAGTGGAGAAAGCAACTCAACCCCAATTGAGGCCATGGAGTGATTTATCTCTCCCTCTTTGGTCAACATTCTCTCAACGCCCCTATTTATCATTTCCCAGATATGAGGAAGAATATAGAGACTTTACCGACCCTTACTTCAAAACAATGTTTTCACCATTGAATGTTGATTTTATGTATACTATTATTTTCGATGTTGCTGATCTGATCAGAAGGTAGAGAGAATGTGGATACTCTGCCCTTGCTAAAGCATAGATAACTATTCGCAACAACTATCCTGGACACGTTGGCAAAGAGCATGTGCGTCACACCAATTCACCCTTAGGTTCTCACCAAACATTAGATATATGTACATCATATCAATGCTATGACTGGACTTGTTCATTATCAATTTTTAGAAAAAACACACTCGCGATTGTGGCACAACATGGTGCAGTTTCGAATCTATGATTTAGTAGCAAGCCTGCAACAGAGTCAAACACCACTTCTAGTCATTTCTCCAACCTTGAGCACACGCTCTCAGAACAGAGAGCAGTGGCGGTTCACTGAATTTGTATCATTCAGGTGATTGAGATACTCGCACAATACGTCTATAAACATTTTTTAACTCCTTCCAGGATTGTAGATGAACTCTGAAACCTTCATGCCAACAATGGCATTTTGATGAACTCTGCGTAAAGTCACTCTTGACATGATCGTTTGTGTGTGCGTACGTGTCCTATTGTATGTGTCGGGGGGGGGGGGGGGATTTCAGGATTATCCGAACCCTGCCGCCCATTGAATGGGGGGATCAATCCCATAGATAATGATCGTGTGAAACCGAAAATGGGGACCGGGGGGGGGGCTTGTGAGGTGAAGAGCAAGACCAAAGATTTCATACATAGGGTGGTGTGTACACATACATGTACAATGTTTTCAATGAGTGATGTGTCGCTTTGTTTTGCTTTAATTGGTGCTTTCCTCCAATGTCATGCAGTCGTATTTATTCAGCTTTTATTTCTTGTGTACTTGTATACTGGTATTAGTTTAGTCCCACAACTTGCGATAAAATGATCAGCTGCAGCACCTACTCCACTTTTATGTTTATGTATCTATGTCATTCGGATCTTCCCAAGTTGTACAATGTACTGTTGAGATCATACCGAATTCAAATACATCAATACCAATACAATACAATGTACGTCGAGCACTTTCAACTAAAGGATTCCACAGTACAGATATCCGTACCCAAGAGGAACTGAACCAATAGGCAATACTACTTTGCCACTATTTGATCATGTACTGGTTGGTTTTACCTAGAACGTACCTGTCTATGAAAACCATGCCTAGGGGAGATCACTACTCCTTTTCTTCTTGTCGACGATGCACTTACTTGTTTCGGAGAATGGCTTGGTGTTTTATTTTATTTTTGTTATTTTTACAAAGACCACTTAAATGCCAAACATGAGATGCAGCTAGGGGAAGCACGCACAACCTGAATCGTGGCAGTGGTGGTGAGGTTTAGGGAGCTCTGCCGACCTAGGGTCTCGACTTCATGGCCACCTAGACGCACCAAGAGTTGCTCGTTGCATGCTGTTATGGAGAGGTGGGTAGCTCGAAACGCTGAATTGGAATGTCCCATTCTTGTACAGGAAGAGCACGAATGACCTGTCAAGCCTGCTTGCTGGATGGCCAAAACACCTTGTTAGCAGGCAATTGAGAGTACACGGATCCACGCAAGATGTTGTAGTACGATCATGGTTGGAAATACGGTGCAGCTCAATGAAATCCGAGCGACGGAGTGAATGCCACCAAGGGCGCTCTGCATCCCTAGACCTGAGAGCACTGCCGGGCCTGGGTTGGTGAACTGGTGCAGAACGCTAACCTGACTCACACGATCGGATTTCATTGAGCAGCACTTTACTGAAATCCTATGAACCAAGGAACGGATGAGCGCCTTTTTACCAGCACACTTACCGAGATCAGGCTCGAGATCGTCGATGATGACAGGGATAAAACCGGTTTCTTGTTCACTTTCCTCGACGACTTGATGTAAACAAAACGCTCCCTAACGATTCCAGTGCCCTCAGCTCGAAGTGACTTGCATTTGCCTACCTCCGGCCACAACTCACAAGGGTGACTTGCAGCGGAGAGCCTGTGCACGGGACACAATTGAGAATGAGTACCGTGCAGGCAGAGGGACCCCAGCTTCATCCAAACGATCATGATCTTTGAGTAGGTCTACTTAAAGCCTTTGGGCCGGCTGTAAGTGGTAGAATCTACCATTGCTCGGGCTGGGTGGCGTAGCCGGGCGCGGCGTTACGAAGAATGCCTCATGAGATCACAGACCAGCGTCCATGTTCATGCAGACGCGTAATTTTGCATCCGTGATCAGGGCGACAAGTGGTTCCTTCCTGATATTATGCGCTACACGTGGCTTGCGCCACCCGTTCCTCTACTCTAGCTCTGCGTGTCACCCTACTCCACAGGAAACACCAGACTACAGTATTATTATAGTAGTACGCACCGCTTCAAACGGGGCCACTTGCGTAAATCAGAAAGGCTGCGATCGCTTGCTTGAGCCACACCACCCAACCAATCTCTCAGTTCAGGGCTGAGAAGTCAACACTGCCATGCTATTTTGGAGGAAAAAGCTGAGGTCTTGGCAATGTACATGTATATAACGCAACGGCTTGGAGGCATACAGTATGGGGTGGACACAAATTGTGAGGAATGCCACCCTATTTCCGCAGATTGAATTACTCCCGAAAGATACGGATCATTGTTGATAGAGATGACGCTTGCATTTCACCATTGCAGTCATTCTATTGCCTTGCCATGACGCCATAATTATCATGGATGATCTCTTTGGCTCTGCCCTGACTGCCAACTTGTCACGAAACATTTTCCGCTCGCTGTCTGAGGTACAAGTACATGCACGTGTAAACATGTTGATAATGATTGCATGTACGAGAGTTGGAATGATGATTTGACTTTTAAAATTTTCATGACCACCAAAAATGGCAAACAGGCCATCCTCAGCACGCAGCACAGCGCTACTGCACAACATAATTATGTCAGGAAATGCCCGTCTAACTTGTGGGCACTGTCACCGTCAGAATGTTTTACATGACGAGGAACATGTCCGATGTAGGTATGGTGCAGTCCATTTTGATTCGGTGCTTCAAACAAAACTGCCGGCTACTAACAGAGATCCGACTCGGGAGAAATGAGGATGTCCAGTACTACACAGAAACAGTTGAAAAGAAATGGAGCAGAATACACGGAGGAGTCTGCCATTCGGTTTGTATGGTTCGGACAATTTCACTGCTCTTGGAGCATTATCGCATTACATGTATATTTCGTAAGCTTTTCAAAGACTATTCATTTATAATGGACACACTCGCCGCCTCCATGTTCGTTACTTCAAGCCAGGTAATTTCAACATCGACGTACTAGTATAGTCCAATATGTATTCATTAGTTGAGGGAAATCAGGGAATAGAAAAAGGGAAATCTGAAGAAACAAATTGACTGCCACCACCAGGACACCAACCAGGGACCTTGTCTTGAGGCCAGCGATGCTTCAAACACTGAGCGATGGTGTAGCTATCATCCCAGGGGAGACTGCTCAACATTATCTCTCATTAATTTGTGTGCGAGTGTCTTTTTATAATTAGCTTTCCTGAGCTACATGTGCGTGGAAGTCTGCGTTGTGCAGAGCTCACCCACTCTTGAGTTTGAGCACTCTGGCAAGGAACGTTCAGGTCTGGTTTAAATCTGGCTTTGGAAATTTAGTTTTTCATTGGTATCAGGTTCGGCCTCATATTCTCTGTGCATGCTGCGCTAACGAGCGCACAAAGGGACGAAACAGTTCTATACGCAGATTGTGTACTTAGAAGTATATGCCCATGTGTAGTTGTTTCGTTTTGTTATGATTGTATGATTACCGGGTGTTAGCGGCCGTCGTGAGTTCCCTTTGGGAACGGACACGATAATTTACTTTTTTTTATGATTATGACAGATCCACAGCTCAATGGTGAAGAGTCGATGCTTGTCAGTTTATTCGCTACTACCGGCATAATAACATTGCTCAATGTCGTAGACAGAGCGTCGGACCTAGCAGACTCAGCGGAGGACCCGGTACCCAGGTGTGTTCCGTGTGTACCGAATCATGCCAATTTTTTCTGCCGGCATTATCCGCATATGCCTATTCATCACTCCACATTGCGCTCCTGGCCCACAGTCACGACACAATAGCGAGGGAAATCGGTTTGGAATAGATGTTGTATATTTTCTGGACAGCTGTTACGATATACCCCACCTTGTATACATGTATGTACAATGTAATACAAAAAATATTTCTTGCGAAGTGATGCTTCCCCCCCCCCCCCCCTGGCATGATGATCTTGCTGCACCTCTGTCAATCTGATGAGTATGACTTTCGTCATACCTCATGACCACGTGATTGGCATAGTAAGCTCTGAACATGCTGTGCACCAAGTACACTCAAAGACTGTACAGTACATTCGGACTCAGCACATCTCACGTTACACTTAGATCTACATGTACATACATTTTTTTTCTTTTTTTCTTTTGAACACTCACTGCATGATGAGCTAAAATGAGGAGAAGAACATGTACTAACAAATTCAACTGCCTCAGATCAAAGTTACTTACGAATAAAAAAACTAACTATCAAAACCCTTATTCATTCATTCATTACACCTTGATCCAATCACGTAGTGTCAGTGAAAGGTGTGAGTGCATAAAATTTAATAATAATTATGACTGTGACGTCCGTCCTGTCTCAAAATTGTTACGAAACCCCGACCCAAGGACATTATTGCTTTTGCGACTGCAGCATTCAGCTAACCGAGGTCAGCGGCTCAGCTGCCTGGAACCAGTTTCGGCCAGATATCTGTGCACCTACACGATACAAGCTATCATTATCGATTGTACCAACGTGGAGATCATTTTGTTTGATCACCTACATAAAGATGACAATAAATTAATCATTAGAGAGGTTTCGCTTCACGTTGTTCTGCACTACGCCGTGAAACTCGCGTTCACGTCTAACGTGAGTTGACCTCAGCTCACGTCATGAACGGGAGTTTCGACGCCAAAATTTGCCACACCGACGTGAAATTTCACGGTGTAGTGCAGAACAACGTGAAGCGAAACCTATCCAAAGAGATTCGGACAGCCCCTGGAGTGTTTTCGTTATGCAAAGAGACTACACAGCGAGACAGCTCGCAACTTACTCAAAGGTTTCTACGAGTAGGAGGTCTAAATATTTCCACGGGACTGAGGAGTGTCTCATCTGCTGGAATTTGAAGCGCTCACCTGCCAATGTGACGCTAGCAGCACGATAGGAGATCTGGATCATTATTATTACTTTTAAAATTATATTGCGCTCAGTGTCACTGTGTGGATATGTCATTCATTCGACGATTAGCACCGCTGTTTAGGTTCGTGCTCATAGATCTACTATGGACGGCATGCATTTTGGCAGGGCCTACTGTCGGAGCCGGCACACAACAGTCCGTGCCCATTAGTAGTCCCATTACGTTGGAGTACAAGCGAGTCAACAATGTCCCTTTGAAAGTCGACGTCTACCCGGTGGGAGATCATCTGGTGACAAACGTTTCCGAGTCATGCCTGAAGGAGATCGTCAGGTACTGTCCAAAGTCGTATGATAGCGATCCGACGTGCAGCGAGTGCATCGGCGATCATCAGATCCACATCAAAGCATCTGGATGCCCACAAGACTTGTATCTCATTCAGAACTTCTATTGTAGTACGATGCCTAACGGGACTGTGGATACTGGTGGCAAAAGAACAGGTACAGAGCACAGAGGTGGCAGTGAACTGCGTCCCCTGCTTATATACATTCATGGCGGTGGCTGGTCACATGAATCAAAAGAGCAGGTGCCCGATTACGTGCGTCAGCTGGCCGAAGCCCAACGTTATGTTCTAGCCAGTATTGAATACCGGCTGACGAGTCAAGCTGAAGTATACGGGGGAGACGAGGCAGTGATCTGGCCGGCGCAGCGCGACGACTGCATGGACGCAGTGCGAGTGCTCCACGAGAAAGCGGCACAGTACGGTGCGGACAACCAGCGTATGGCCTGCATCGGCACGTCGGCGGGCGGGCAGCTGTGCTCGGTGACGGCAGCGTACGGACGACAGCAGAGCACGACGACATCGCTCAAGCTTGCCGCACCCCTATACGGTCCAACGAACCTCGTGAACATGACGCTGGACATCGACCCGAGTGTCGGTTGCCGTATCGACCACGATGCGGTGGGCTCGTTCGAGAGTCGATTGCTTGGATCGGCAATCACGAACATCAGTGTTGCTGAAATCAGACACAATCTGCAGAATGCAAGCCAGCCTTGGCCACGCCTAGTGGCACTGGCAAACAGTGCTAATGCAGTGAACTTCGTTGACAAAAGCACGCCACCGATGTTCCTTGCCCACGGCACAAGGGACGGCATCGTACCGTACGAGCAGACGCAGCGGCTCGTGGCGGCGCTTCAGACGGCCGGAGTACGTCACGCGTTTGCGCCGGCGGTAGGCTGCGATCACGCATCTGAGCCACGTGACTGCTGGCAGGATGCAGTGAATGCAGCACAACTATGGATTACCGACAATCTGTAACCATGGTAACCTGTGTACATGTTTACAGTCTGTGATTGGTGGTCACCTGACCTCCGGACGGATGTGTGTGTGTGGGGGGGGGGCTAGATTTCATTTTAGTCTGGCTGATTTGCAAGTATATTTCAGTACTGCAGTGATCCTACCACACCATGAGGTACATGTACGCACAAAGAGAGAGAGAGAGAGATAGAGAGAGAGAGAGAGAGAAAGAGAGAGAAAACAGGGTTCTGTTTTAATCTTCGTCTGCACACTTCTTCTTGACATGACAACTCTTTGCATCTTTCCTCAACCATACTGTCATTGCTGTTTGCAAAGCTGAACCATTCTACTGGAAATTGTCATGAAAGTATGGAAGCTCTGAAACAGAGGGCCTAGTTAGGTTTTTAGGACACTCCTCGTTGCCACAAAAGTGGGAGCTAACATGGATAAATGTGTTCTCCTCTTTCTCGCCTTTTTGTACTTGTTGCCGCCTTATAGCACTCCAGGCCAGCACTAGATGTGCCCGTATAAAAGATGCGTGCCTGTCACCAGTCTGTCCTGCCCCAATCCCCCCCCCCCCCTCCGTGTCATGTTTGATGGGGTCATGCCGAGTAATTTGTGAGCCCTGCATTGATGCTGACCTGAACTCTAATTTGGATTCTATATTTTGCTCTAGCGTTTATGCAGACTTGTTAGAATCACATAGAACCTCACCTTCTCCTTAGCTCAACCCGGTTTGCTTTTGTTTTCATGCTGTTGCATTCAGATCCATACAGCTATCTACTGTCGTGGACATGGAGATCAAGTCGAGTGACCGTGACCGGCGCTCAGTGCATACAGAATGCGGCATGTGTGTACCGTATGTACTCAAGGCTTCACGGCCAGCGCCCTGGGGCCACTTGACTTCCGACTTGATTTCCATGTCCACGACAGTAGGAGAAAATGTCGCCTCATTGATTGGTACTGTGTGGAGCACACACCATCCGGGGCGTTTTGTTCCACAGCATAACCGGAAAACACCTCTTGCCAAAAGAATCACCACACATACTTGAAATGTACACAATGCTATCATTCCTTTGCCCAGCCAACGCATTTAGATGCAGAAGAACACTCCGCTATGAAAAAAGGAATCACATTCTATGCGAGAAGATACGGAAAATAAAATACGCGCGGCGATTAGAAAATGATACAGTTCACCAGTCACGTATGGTTACCTAAGAAGGTATGACAGGTGCAGCGTGGGAATGCAAATGGGGTCATACTCGAGGATAGAGAGAAGAAGACATGCACAGTATGCTGAAGCAGGCGGTAAGGAAATTGTACAATTACGTCATATTATTATTATTATTATTATTATTATTATTGCAAGGCTGTTCCTTAGCATATACCTACTCTCTTTCTCTCTCTCTCTCTCTCTCTCTCTCTCTCTCTCTCTCTCATACACCTGACACACATATACAAACACACCCTCACACACATATATACACATACACCCATGCACACATACACACATAAAACTGCTCTGGCCTGAAGTGGGGAAGAAGACAAATTGAGTGCTCTATAATTATTGTTCGACTCTCTCTCTCTCTCTCTCTCTCTCTCTCTCTCTCTCTCTCTCTCTCTCTCTCTCTCTCTCTCTCTCTCTCTCTCTCTCCTTCTAGATCTAATGATGGCTTTACAGTGCGGCAAAATGTATCAGGAAAAGTATGACTAAAAATGATCTTATTGAAAATTTATAGTTCAAAAACTATGTAATTGGGTATTAAAAAAAACTATCAATTTCGAACTGAACGTCTCCTTGGGCTCTGAGGGGAAGAAATCATTGCCCTGAATGATTTCAGTATCTAGAGACGCTAGTTGTGAAATGATTAGAACATTATTCTGTCCGGACAATACTCCTTTAGATGACCGTGTGCTAGAAAACCATTTCGGCGAACGGATAGCCTCAGAATACTAGGGAATACCTTGACTCGCAATGCTATAGGCAATATTCATCGTATGCGTCTGCCCATTGCCAATTGCCTTACCATTCAAGCAGACTTGGATTTCTATTGGCTGACAGAAATACCTCTTTGGGATGTAGAACACAGCATCAAATGTTGGCGCTGGCAAGTCTGCCTTCCGGACATCGTTGCTTGGCCTACATTGGATGTGCTGCAAGGATAGGTTGGAAGGATTCTCCAAACGGGCGCTAGATGAGGTTTGCTGGACGGTTGCAGAAGCACCGCCGAGAGATAAACCTGCGAGGGGAGAATAGAAACGAGAGAGCTTGGAAGCTCAGAGCCCTACGCTATGCTTTTTTTGCCTTGATGACCTAGACAAAAAAAAGCATAGGGATGTTATAAATTCTTTTAAAAAATCCTTTTTTTTAAGACATAACCTGGGATTCGAACCCGCACTATCGCGCGCCCTGCATGCATCCCCCGATACACTTCGCATACATTTGTTTGTTTGTGTCACGCCTGGCACTATCCGTATCTACCGGCAAAAAAAGCATAGGATGTTATAAATTTTTCAATTCTCCTATTTTTTTTTCAGGCATATCCTGGGATTCGAACCCGCACTATCGCCCTACATGCATTCCCCCATACACTTCGCATTCATACCCATTCTTCCAAGTTGTTTCACATTGTGATCTTGCATTTGAAAGCCCTATTTGAATATGCATTGTGGCCAGCCGTCTTTGAAGCCTAGTTCACATTCGACGGGGCGCGACGGGACGCGACGTAAGGATCGACGGGAAGCGACGGGACGGACTGACGGCGTCCAATGTGAACAACAGGAACGGGAACGCAACCGTACTACCGTACAGATCAGGAAGCAACGGGAAGAGTTGGATCGAAACAAATTTTCATACCGTAGACGGGCGTAGACGGGGACGCAAGCGTACAAAACGGCTGCAATTCGAGTGTGAACAGGAGACGGCGTCGTGCGCCGACTACTCCCGATTCGTACTTGGAATTTTTTAGCATTTCGAACACTGCGCTTCCCATGATAAGTCACAGAATGGCTAGCACGACTTCAGTTGAATTTTAGCAACATAAGATCTCATGTCACCTATTGTATTTAGGGATAGTTCAGAAGCGTGACAGACGAACTATTCTATCATTTCTTGGGGCTATTATTTGAATGCCACAACTTTCAGGGCTAATTTTTTGGTCTTCATGAAAAACTGGTATTGTGAACTTGTTTCCGCTTCTTTCAAGGAGAAATAATTGAATAGAAGTCCCGAAAAACGAGAAATTAGGTCCGAAAGTCACCCCGTGACGAACCGTGCCTTATGACTCGCGCCGTTCGACGTTGAACGTCGCAACGACTGCTGCATGTCGTGTCGTACCAATCGTACAGGATTTTACAGCTCACCCCAGCCCTCCCGACAAGCCCTTACGTCCCGTACTGTCGGCGTTGCGTCGAATGTGAACTAGGCTTGATGGCACGGTACGGTAGGGGATAAGTACGGGACAGGTACGATCGAGGGTAATACGACACCGTCTCCCGTACCGTACCGTACCATCAAACACAGCTGGCCACATACAGCTGCCCGCAATATTCAAATAGGGCTTTCAAACGCAAGATAATAACGTGAAGCAACTTGGAAGAATGGGTATGAATGCGAAGTGTATGGGGGAATGCATGTAGGGCGATAGTGCGGGTTCGAATCCCGGGATATGCCTGAAAAAAAAATAGGAGAATTGAAAAAATTATAACATCCTATGCTTTTTTGCCGTCAGATACGGATAGCGCCAGGCGTGACACAAACACACAAACAAATACCAAATTAAAGCTGTGTGGACCCTGGCTAGCGCCAGACGTTACTGAAGTAACGTCTTCTGCATAGCTACCGGAATAAATTAATTTAGTGTCCTGATTGCAGAAATAAATTAATTTAGTGTCCTGATTGTAGAAATAAATTAATTTAGTGTCCTGATTGTAGAAATAAATTAATTTAGTGTCCTGATTGAATTAGGGTAACCACCTGTCTGCTAGTATCAGCGACATTTGGTAGCCTTTGGTGGATAATGCTTGGAAAATTGGCAGAAACATACAAACATTATGGCAGGCAATACCCTGAATTCTGCTTCATTTCTTTATCCACATATGCAACATGCAAGAAACAAACCAAACAAAAAAATTCCAAGTTCTGCCAATTTTTCTGCCGTCATTATCCACCATAGAACTATTGACAGTTGAAGTTTTAAAAAATAATTAAAGAAGACATAAGCCTGGGTCACACCGCGCCACTTTTTTGGCCGCTGCTCCCACACCGGACCGCCTCCAACATGACATCAGCAGGCTGTGTGGGATGACATGGCCTAACCGTTCACACACCACCTAAAGCGATTTCTCTAGTAATCCTATCTGTACAAACAATAGGGAGGTTCCGGAGTACGATTTTTCGTGCCAAAATTCGTAGAGGCGCCACGGATTTTTTATACGTCGTTTTCGAGCAGTGAAATGTTCCGGAGTACGGAACTTATGTGTTTGCCGTCATTGCCTAGGTTACGATCGCAAGCAAGTCACATTCCCGCGCCATGTCTTGTTATTTTGAAAGTTTGTACCGAAATCAAAACTTCCCGCCGAAAATCAATGTTTCTCGTACCAAATTTGCACGGTTAAAATCTTCCTACACCGATGACCCAAAATCTCCATACGAAACATAGTTCGTATCAAAGCCAGTCCACACGGATTCTTCGCGCCGAAAATCGTATGGAGCACGCCTCGAAAAAATCCGTAGCGCCCAAACGGATTTTGGCACGGAAAATCGTTGCCCGGAGCCTCCCTACTGTAGCTTCACTAGACCGTAGTAAACCACGGTCGACTCTAGGGAGAAATTGACATCTTTTTTACACGAGCTATTTGGCGAAAAGCGCGTTATTAGCCATCCAGTCCTACCAGTTCACCGTCTGCATTATCGTTCTCTGCTGTCATGATGAAAATCCGTCAGTGATTGTTCGGAAACCCTCTCCGCCATGTGTAAGCACTAAAATCGGCCGACGTTTCGGCCAAATATCGACCAGTTGACACTTGGCTGAAAAATTGCACGATAAGAAAATTACCAGAAATGTGTAGAATTTTGTACTACAAATCCGTTCACACAGGGTGCATTTTGCATCTTTGATCTTGACAATTTTTCATAAAACTCCTGGTAGGAAGAAAAATTGGCCTCGTGTGAACCAGGCAATAGTCCACTCCGGAGAAAAGAGTGGGAGACGAAAACAAAAAATACGACAGTGGAGATAATGGAGGTCCCAGATTGGATCCTGTTTTGGAGAAGAATTGGTCAAAGATACTGAAGTGAATAAAAGAATGTTCCAAAAACATATATGCCATATCCATATTCCTTAGTGGAAACCATTTACCCAGCACCTTAAAAGCTACGGAGTTCTAGAAAGCGCAAAAAAACAAAATGCGTACATTTCTGCATGCCGTTTTGCAGATGCATTTCATCAATTCACATGCACCACATGCATTCTCATCTCTAATTCAAAGTTGCACTTCAAATCTAGGTTTGTGCACTGGTTTCCGCGTTATGAGCACTCGTGGTATCTGCTCACCCAGTCATTGTTCTAAAAAAAGGAATTTTTTGAACAAACCCAAAAAATCAGGAAAAGTAGGTGAAAAGGCCGCCGCAGTCGGCGAATAAAGTTGGATGTTTGGCTTCTTCCTTGACCTCCCTGGATCAGTTTTGACTGGTCCAATAAGTGGAAACCGTTTGAGGATACCATTGTGAAGCGGTGTGCTGAAGGACGATTTGTACCTCTCATGGTCCAACGGTCGATGCTAAAAGTAAAACGGCAAATTAGGAGATATATATAGCTCACGGAATATTTCTAAAATTTGTGGCTAAGCATCCTTTTCACGTGCTCTGGCTCATATTAATCTGTTTCGAATTACGTACATTCCTGCACACGCTTACCTAGGAACTGGGACGTTCCTAGCTTTGGTACCTGGATCTGTTGTGGCAGGGGCGTAGCACCCACTACGACTGGTACGACCATGGCCGTACCAGCAAAACCGTGCAAAACCGTGATAAAAAAATCAGGATCCATCGATGCATATGCGCATCAGACTTTGACCTTTTTCTAGACTCGTACTCGTAGATCTGCAATCCATCTGCAGTCGTACTGTACTCGACTCGACTCGACTGCACACTGCGCTGCTGCGCAAGAAGTGTGCCAGAAGTTCCCAGAACGCAGGATTTTGTGTCTTTTTTACAAAATTTTCCCGGGGGATGTCCCCCGCCCCCCCCCTCCAACACGCCCTTCAGCCGCACCGACCTTCGGTCGTACCACTTCCAAAACCCCTCCTACGCCCCTGTGTGGTGTCTGTTTAGCAGCGGCACTTGCAGGGGATGACAAAGGAAGGTGGCCGGATGAACCTCCTGCAAAGGGCAAATGAAATAAACAAATTTATCCTCCATATTGAATTGGGTAAACACATAATTATACTATGCTGGTTCTAGTGATCTTCGGCCACTTTCGCTACGCAGAAATCCGTTTGTACCACGTATTAGCATACACGGAATATTGACAACATGACACACCAGTGGAAGCTTTTACAAGTCAAAGCTATTCACACGGCACGCTACAAGTTAATATCTCATCAAGTTAAAGGGGAAGCATACCCTAAAATCAAATCTTCGCCGGTTGTAGTCTTCGGGGTGCTGAGTCGAATGGTCTTGGTCCGAGGAAGCTGGGACCCTCCCTTCCTCCTTTATTGCCAATCGAACTCGCGCACTTCCACCGAAACTGGGTGACTGCGCCCTACTAGATAGGGATTTGTATGGAAAAAGTCACTAAAAACGTCGTTTTGTTTTTATAAAAGCGCAGATGACCGCGATCGGTCCATATGTTGTAGTCTCTTGGCCGCTGAGTCGACTGGTGTTGGTCCGAAAAGGCTGCGATGCAGCGTTCGGCCCTTATTCCCAATCGACACGGTTGAGTAAGGTGTCACGTGCTCATTTACAGCCTGGTTGGGCCCGTTTATGTCTCTCGAGTTGAACCTTCGAACCAGGGAGTTGTAAAAGCCTCTTATGACTCCCTGCTTTGAACCTTTGAGTTGAACCTTGATGTGAAAATTGTAGCCTGCAGCCACGGTGACCAGGCGACTGGTGTATGCATGAGCACGTGACCGCTTATTCAAGCGTGTTCGATTGGTAATAAGATCCGAACATTGCTTCGCAGCCTTTTCAGACCACAACCAGACGACTCCGCGGCCAAAAAGCTGCAACATATGGACCAATCGCGGTCATCCGTGCTTTTATAAGAACGAAACAGCGTTTTTAGTGACTTTTTCCATACAAATCCCTATCTAGTAGGGCACAGTCACCCAGTTTCGGTGGAAGTATGCGAGTTCGATAGGGAATAATGGAGGAAGGAAGTGTCTCAGCTTCCTTGGACCAAGACCATTCGACTCAGCACGCCGAAGAGTGGGGTATACTTCCCCTTTAACATCTCATCAGTTAAATTGCAAAATGTGAAAACATCATCTCTAATTCCAAGCTGACAGTACCTATATTGATCTGTTTTTAATTACGTACATTCCTGCGCACACTTACCTAAGGACCTTGAAGTTCCAAGCTTTGGTACCTGGGGCTGTTGCGGTGTCTGTTGGAGAGCGGCACTTGCAGAAGGTGAGAAAGAAGATAGGCCGGAAAATACGCCGGATGAACCTTTTGCAAAGGGCAAATGAAATAAGCAAATTTATCCTCCATATTGAATTGGGGGAAACACATAACTATACTATGCTTGTTCAAGTGATATTCGGCCACTTGAACTAAGCAGAAATCCTGTTGTACCATGCATTAGCTTACGCGGAACATTGACAACATGACACACCAGTGGAAGCTTTTACAAGTCAAAGCTATTTTCACAGCACGCTACGAGTTGACATCTGACCAGCTATATTGCAACACGTGCAAACATCATCTCTAATTCCAAGCTGACATGACCTATATTGATCTGTTTCGAATTACGTACATTTCTGCGCACACTTACCTGGGGACTTTGAAGTTCCAAGCTTTGGTACCTGGGGCTGTTGCGGTGTCTTTTTAGCAGTGGCACCTGCAGGAGATGACAAAGAAAACTGGCTGGATAAACCTCCTGCAAAGGGCAAAATAAAATGAACAAATTTATCGTCAAATAATCGACGTGGAGACAACAATTTTATAATAGCAATAAAAAGAACAAATTCTGCAGTCATCGCCACACTACAACGAAGTCATGTAAGTTTACCAGAATTAATTTTCTTGTCACATTCATCAGTGGAAAGTCGTGACTGAAGAGTCACTAGAGCGCGCAATGTCGTCTTTGAGGAATACTCTTTCTATTGCTAAGGAGTGATAAGCACGGGCTTTGTGCACCCGATTCTGGATGGAAGGTTTGCATATTTTAAACGGAGATACTCTAGGAGTCAGGTTGAAACCCTGAATGATGCTCTGCGCAAACGCTACTTGGCTAGAAACATTTCACATAATATTATCTTTTTGAAGCGCTGTAAGGAAAATGGAGTGTGCCCTACTTCCATCCAGAATCGGGTGCACAAAGCCCGTGCTTATCACTCCTTAGCAATAGAAAGAGTATTCCTCAAAGACGACATTGCGCGCTCTAGTGACTCTTCAGTCACGACTTTCCACTGATGAATGTGACAAGAAAATTAATTCTGGTAAACTTACATGACTTCGTTGTAGTGTGGCGATGACTGCAGAATTTGTTCTTTTTATTGCTATTATAAAATTTATCGTCCATATTAGATTGGGACATATACCTATACTTTGCTGGTTCTAGTGATTTTCGCCACTTTAACTAAGCAGAAATCCTTTTGTACCACACATTAGCATACACGGAACATTGATCACATGACACGCCAGTGGAAGCTTTTACAAGTCAAAGCCATTCACACGGCACGCTACAAGTTAACATCTCATCAAGTTAAAGGGGAAGTATACCCTAAAATCAAATCTTCACCGCTTGTAGTCTTCAGAGTGCTGAATCGAATGGTCTTGGTCCGAGGAAGCTGAGACGCTCCCTTCCTCCTTTATTCCCAATCGAATTCGCACACTTTCACCGAAACTGGGTGACTGCGCCCTACTAGATAGGGATTGGTATGGAAAAGTCACTCAAAACGCCGTTTTGTTTTTATAAAAGCCCAGTCTCTTGGTCGCTGAGTCGACTGGTGTTGGTCCGAAAAGGCTGCGATGCAGCGTTCGGCCCTTATTCCCAATCGAACACGGTTGAGTAAGCTGTCACGTGCTCATTCACAGCCTGGTTGGGCCCGTTTATGGCACTCGAGTTGAACCTTCGAACCAGGGATTCGTAAAAGCCTCTTATGACTCCCTGCTTTGAACCTTTGAGTTGAACCTTGATGTGAAAATTGTAGCCTGCAGGCACAGTGACCAGGCAACTGGTGTATGCATGAGCACGTGACCACTTATTCAACCCAGTTCGATAGGGAATAAGGGCCGAACATTGCTTCGCAGCCTTTTCGGACCGCAACCAGTCGACTCAGCGGCCAAAAGGCTACAATTTATGGACCAATCGCGGTCATCCGTGCTTTTATAAGAACGAAACAGCGTTTTTAGTGACTTTTTCCATACAAATCCCTATCTAGTAGGGCGCAGTCACCCAGTTTCGGTGGAAGTACGCGAGTTTGATAGGGAATAATGGAGGAAGGGAGCGTCTCAGCTTCCTTGGACCAAGACCATTGGACTCAGCACCCCGAAGAGTGGGATATACCTACGGTATACTCCCCCTTTAACATCTCATCAGTTAGATTGCAAAACGTGCAAACATCATCTCTAATTCCAAGCTGACAGTACCTATATTGATCTGTTTAGAATTACGTACATTTTTGCGCACACTTACCTGAGGACTTTGAAGTTCCAAGCTTTGGTACCTGGGGCTGTTGCGGTGTCTGTTGGAGAGCGGCACTTGCAGAAGGTGAGAAAGTAGATAGGCTGAAAAATAGGCCGGATGAACCTCCTGCAAAGGGCAAATGAAATAAGCAAATTTATCCTCCATATTGAATTGGGGGAAACACATCCCTATACTATGCTGGTTCTAGTGATCTTCGGCCACTTTAACTATGCAGAAATTCCTTTGTACCACACATTAGCATACACGGAACATTGATCACATGACACACCAGTGGAAGCTTTTACAAGTCAAAGCTATTCACACGGAACGCTACTAGTTAACATCTCATCAAGTTAAAGGGGAAGTATACCCTAAAATCAAATCTTCGCCGGTTGTAGTCTTCGGGGTGCTGAGTCGAATGGTCTTGGTCCGAGGAAGCTGAGACCCTCCCTTCCTCCTTTATTCCCAATCGAACTCGCGCACTTCCACCGAAACTGGGTGACTGCGCCCTACTAGACAGGGATTTGTATGGAAAAAGTCACTAAAAACGCCGTTTTGTTTTTATAAAAGCGCAGATGACCGCGATCGGTCCATATGTTGTAGTCTCTTGGCCGCTGAGTCGACTGGTGTTGGTCCGAAAAGGCTGCGATGCAGCGTTCGGCCCTTATTCCCAATCGAACACGGTTGAGTAAGGTGTCACGTGCTCATTTACAGCCTGGTTGGGCCCGTTTATGTCTCTCGAGTTGAACCTTCAAACCAGGGAGTCGTAAAAGCCTCTTATGACTCCCTGCTTTGAACCTTTGAGTTGAACCTTGATGTGAAAATTGTAGCCTGCAGCTACGGTGACCATGCGACTGGTGTATGCATGAGCACGTGACCGTTTATTCAAACGTGTTCGATTGGGAATAAGGGCCGAACATGGCTTCGCAGCCTTTTCAGACCACAACCAGTCGACTCAGTGGCCAAAAAGCTGCAACATATGGACCAATCGCGGTCATCCGTGCTTTTATAAGAACGAAACGGCGTTTTTAGTGACTTTTTCCACACAAATCCCTATCTAGTAGGGCGCAGTCACCCAGTTTCGGTGGAAGTACGCGAGTTCGATAGGGAATAAAGGAGAAAGGGAGTGTCTCAGCTTCCTTGGACCAAGACCATTCGACTCAGCACGCCGAAGAGTGGGGTATACCTAGGGTATACTTCCCCTTTAACATCTCATCAGTTAGATTGCAAAACGTGCAAACATCATCTCTTATTTCAGGCTGACATTACCTATGTTGATCTGTTTCGAATTACGTACATTCCTGCGCACACTTACCTGGGGACTTTGAAGTTCCAAGCTGTGCTGCCTGGAGCTCTGGTGCCAGCAGCTGTTGCATTTTCTGCTGGGCAGCGGTACTTGTAAGAGATGACAAAGAAAGCTGGCTGAATCTCCAATGGTCACTTGTACCAGTTCCAGAAGAAATGGAAACACACCACTCATCGTCAGGCGAGAGATGAGTGCACAGGAGCGGTGTCTTGTCGGCATTGCGGGCGAAAACTCCTACCCAGACTGGGCATTCTCTATTGGTCGGTGGGAGTATTTCAACTTGGAACGAAGATGGTGATGCCACTGTTGTCTGCTCAATAATAGCGCAGTTGAAGTATGTAGATAGCATTCTGGGTACGAATGTAACCTTGGGAGTGATGCAGGGCTTTTGTCCAGACTCCTTCTCCTGTCGGGTGTGTAGATCCTTCAACCACTTAGAAAGGAGCAAAAGAGGCAACTTGTCCGTTCCTGTCTCTGAGAAGAATTGGAAGAGGCGAGTCGCCCTTTCCATTGCCAGCAAGGTGTGCCGAGCTGTTTCCTTCTGCTCCTCAATGGGCTTCATGATGCGCCAAATAACTTTGTCCAGTCTTGCCCGCAGTGTCGCCTCTTGCTCGTCGATGGATTTCCGTACCTCTGCAAACGCAGATGTGATCTCTTCTGACAAGGTTTGGTGGACCTCGGTAACGGTGTCAAGTGTATTCTCAAGCTGGTCTTGATAATTCCCAAAATGGACATTCCAAGCCACATTGTCTTCCGGTACATATGGTTCGGGTGCTAACAGCTGGGGTCGTAGACTTGCAGGTGCGGGCTCCATACTTAGATTTCCCAAGTGAAGAGAACCATGTTCTGGTTCTGACACTTCCTCCTGGGCGATTCTGTCATTGTCGTCTTCATTGCTGTCTCCAGCGATGTTAACGTCGTCGGTGCGATCTCCCTCACTAGCGTTGTCATCATCAGAGGAGTAAGCAGTATGGTGACTATCGTCAGTAGCAGGCATGCCAAACTTTCCCCTCAGATTAGCAAGGCATTCTCCAGCAGAATGCAGAGCATCTTGAACACAACTCCCATCACAGCAACAGGAACCGACAGTAGCTTCCAGGCAGCGCTTGCAAAATGGCTGGTCGCACGTCATGCAGAATTTTTCGACAGCTCTCTGCGGGTGCAGCATGCACATCGTTGCAACCTTGTTCTTCATTTTCGGCGGCTGCCCTTTCGCCACAGAGATATCGTCTGCAGCCTGCCATGGTTCGACCTGATGTCCGGCGTAGGCTCGCTTCCTTCCATGTCCGCTTGCATGGTCGTCGCAGAGTAGGAATGAGCAATCAGCACAGCGGTGGCCGGCCTTCGACTCATCCACGCACTCGTCGCACAGCGACTTGGCCTGCCGTTCGCGTTCAGTCTCTTCGCCGCCCTTGTCATCATGGGCAGGCGTGGCATTCCCTAAAATGGGCAACAGAACACAAAAAGACAAATTCCCAGGTTAATTCTGGGGGCTTGAAAGTTGCCAGCAAATTTGGTAAGTGGAAATCCAGTTCACCAGAGGCAGCAGGGAAATTTTTAATAGTGCGTTAGTCTTGAGGTTCTAAGACCCCATTACCTTCCACCCCAGGCATACAAGTCAAGTTAAATTGAAAGTAGGGTTGCATCTTTGTTACTTTGCAAGTTTATGTCTGTGGATAAATGGCTACAAAAGTGCTGTAATGACATGAGAAGTGTTCGCTGTTCATGTGTGATATGTTGCTGTAAGGTAAAAATAGACTATGATTCCTAGGCTGTGTTAACATGAGGCGTTTCAACCAGGGTTGAGTTCGACCCGGGTCAGATTGCAACCCGCCATATTCACAAAATGAATGGCGCGTTTACATGACGCATTGCGCTTGACCCGGGTTGAAATTTCGCCCCGGGTTGATTTCAACCCGGGTCAAGAAAATCGTACAAACGTACTTCTGTGCGTATCTTGCGCCAGGTTTGAACGGCACTGCAGATGCAAATTTTGCGCGAACGGATTCACGTGACCATACAGGACTGTAGAAGTGGACTTTTGGCGGCATATCAGTATTTGACCCGGGTCAACTGTCTTCATGTAAACGCTCACCTCTGTTGTCTATCGTACAGACTTTCAACCCGGGCTGAACTCGACCCGGGTTGAAATTTCTCATGTATACACAGCCCTACTGTCAAGTTCTTCCTGCTATAAACCAGTGACGCAGTCTCTTAGTCTACAGTCCGAGGTGGTATTTTCTAGAAACTCGTAACCATTAGGAGCTCACAAATGTTTTAGAGCTGCTTCTGACTAAGTTCTGGCTGCTGAATACGATAAAAGTATCGGCAAGTCTGTACAGTGTCCGTTTGTTAGAAAAATCGATCTTCCGCTGCATACGGAAATTGTACATGTACTCTAACCCGGTCATTCTAGAGTATAGTGGGTTTCTGCATACAGAGTCCATTTTAGACTCCAGTTGGTGGAAGTCAGGGAGGGTACGACTCCCAGGTGGCAATAAAACATTATTCAGCTGAATATATTGAAGAAAAAAACAAAGCAAAATGTAAAATTTAGGTGGACTTGCAAGGTCGGTGCGAGCAACTGTACAAATACAATAAAATTGATTTTCATCCGAGTCTATGGCATGGCTGTCAAACTTCGAGTTGTTTAATGTGGCGCTCAGTCCCCGATACAAATTTAGTGTTGGTGCTACAAAAAATGAAAAGTACATTGGCTGTCGCAGTGTCATGTACTCAAGCGCAGCAGCAATTAGAATACAGTAGCAATGACTCTGAACCGACATAATTAAATACAAGTGAAAGGACAACCAAACTATTAACACGTCTGTCTCAAGCGGCGCAGCAGCAAAGAATAGCCAAGAGCGACCAAAATCATAATTATACAAGTGACACAACCAAATTATTTACATATTCAGCAGTTTGCAAGCTTTGAAGTATTTACATTATAGCAAAACAAAAAAACACTCGGTTCATGACACAGTAAACACATGCATCAGAGTTTGGCTCGCAATCCACAACACAGCAGGATGAAGTAGGTCAATACAGCTCTTGGATGTCAGTGTTGATGTCGTCATCATCATTGCAACAATCACTGCCAGCTCCATAGGAAAAAGTCACTTGTACGGGCAAGTCAACAAGCATATCTTTTGCTAGCTTATCTCGCCGCTCTCCACCATGGTCAACATAGCGATACATTTCACCCCGCTGATGCATTATTTTCTTCCGATTATCATCTTCTTTCCTTCATTCTTTCTTCTTTTTTTTTCTTCTTGCCATGGCTGGCTAACGCCCCCTCCTTTGCATTGGCTTCTTCCATTGGACGGTGAAATAATAATAATAATAATAATAATATCATCAAACTAAAGTGATTCGGGAAATCGAATCAAAGTAAACAATTGAACACAAAGGCAATAAAACATTGGTCTTATTGTTTTGACCAGGTGGTGATCAGGAAAATCAACTCAAACTCTTCTCAAAACCAATTTGTGAATGATTGAACACAACAGCCTAAACATTGATGATATTATTTTGAACTGGTATAGGTATTGGAGTAAAATAAAGTAGGAATAAGGCCATGGATGAATTTACTGTCATTTTTTTGCATAGCAGTTTTCGCGACGCAAACGCCAAAATGCGTAGCAGCCCTTGACTTTTGATTAGCACTTTTTCTTCCACGAAGACCGACTAAAATTTCTCAGTCCACGGAGGGAGGACTCGTGCTGTCTGCATAGCTGGCAGAAAATTAGCGTCACCGCTGCACCTGTAGCTTTCTCAGAACCAAGCCATTTCTTCTGGACATCGACCTCTGCCACCCACTTCTCAAAGGTACTCTGTCGTACAGACATGTTGGAGGCAGAACCAGACTAGACAAAAACTACAGCTTGGGCAATTGTCAGAGAGAAGGACGAACGTGATTCCAAAAGTTCCTTACGACCAGAAAGACCGACTGGCTACAAGCAGAAAGCTATAGTATCACGAAAAGAGGTAAGTGAACCTGAAAGAAGAAAACAAACAACAAGACCTCCGCCGGGATCGTGGAGGAAAGATGATAATCGTCAGTACGGAAAGTACATGTACATGAACTTACTGAACTTACTGAATGAAAGCCGCGCAAAGTGGTACGTGTAGTACAGTTCAAGTAGGACACCAGTACAGTCAGTATGTGCACGCGGAGCCAGCCACAGTTCACAGGTACATGTACTAGAAATCACACCTTCCCGAGAAAAAAGCGGGGTCCGTGCACTGTACACAATGGTACAGGTGTAGTGAGTGTACAACATAGTCACAGCATCACTTTTACTGACTGCGCGAGCTAGTATGCAGTGCCGTTTATGCATCACAGTTTCCTGCGAGTCGCTGTGATTTTTGAGTCGCACTCGATCGATTTTGAATCGCAAACTGCGATGCGATACCGGATAAATTCATCCCTGAAGGCCATGGTAAAAAATATCTTTGATTCTCAAGTACGCGCGCATCGATTTTTGGCGGCGCACCGACGATTTTTTTTATTTCTATGCATGCATATGCGTGCATGAAAACGGTCAATGCGAAAGGCATGAATCCGGGAGTAGTAAAATACCGGTATTTTTCTACTCCCTGGCCTGAATAATAAAATAATTATAAATTAATTATGAACCTGTGACGTACACATGTGTGACCCTATCTTTGGAAATAAAAAAATTGTGGGAATTAAAATAAAAAATCGCTCGCTCGCACTGATTTTCACAGGCTCATGACCTGAGAATCAACTTTATATTTTACCATGGCCTAACACCAAGTACATAATGTCCCGGCCCAGGGCAAGTGCCTACTCAGCCTGGCGATACTGGGCAACAAACAAGTTCAACCGTGGCCTGTCACTGTATGATGGGAGGCATCAACTGAAGCAAGTGACGGCCCATCTAAGCAAATAAAATGACAACCTTGTGCGCAACAAGCCCATCACCACTAAATAGTTCAGTCCACTGTTCCGCTCCACGAACAGCGACGCTAAGGACCTTCGGCACACCTGTTGACGGATGGCCCTACCGGGATGTCCCTGCCGGCACGATGCAACAATCTCGGCTCTGTCTCGACGTCCACCGTCCCGGCTTCTCGGAGCAGATGCGTGATCAAATCGCACACCTCATTATGGCGCGCTATTATATAGCTACCAGTCCACCGTCCCAGCCTCTCGGAGCAGATGCGCGATCAAATCGCGCACCTCATTATGGCGCGCTATCATATAGCCACCAGTTGTGTGGGTGAGCGCATGCCGTGCGGTGAGTTCTGCACCGCAAACACATGTATCCGGAAGACCCACCAAACGGCGGCCGTATCGAATGCAGAGTGCATCCCTGAAGTAAGTCTTTTTCAGAACTGTTCCGTCCTGGAACCTGGGCACTACCGTAAGCCAAGATGAGAGTCCCTTCTCATCGCAGACCTCAACCAGGAGCTGCTGCTCCGGGCTTAGACTCGCCATAATCTTCTGCTGGCAGCCGCATATTGTCCGTACTTAAGCCGACCGCGCTAATCGCGCAAGTTGGAGAGTGTCGCCAATGGCATCCAGCACCTGGTCTCTGCCAGTCAGCTGCAAACTGCCAGCCGCATGTGCAATTGGCAGTGTGGATATGCCATCTTGAAATATGTACGACACTGGACCAGGGACAATGCTGCACGAGTGCCATCTGCCAGGTCGCCCGCCACAGCCGGCACCGAACCAGGCGATAACGCGGCACACGTGCCATCCACCGGGTCCCCCGTGGGCTCTCATAGGTTCCGGTAAGCAGGAGCTGCACGAGTGGCTTGGTCGGTCGGATAGATGCAGCCAGCTTTACCGGGGCGGTGTTCTTGAGAACCGGGATAGCCAGAACACCAAATCGCAGGTTGAACACCATCCCCCAGCAGGGCCGGCAATAGGCACTCGTTCATCTTCCTCTTGAGCTCAGTCAACAGCCCAGGCGCGCACAGTGAGCAGCGCAGGTGATAAGCCCAGATCCCAGCCAAGCCTTTGGTGAATACAGCACTGAAAGGCAGCCTGCAGTTGGGTCAGTGCCATGCCAGAGAGGTCATCTAAGGCCTTCTGCCACAGTTCTGGTTCCCTACGGAATGCAGGCCGATGGAACTGCAACCGGTTGCCGACGTGTTCCATGAGGCGTTGCTTCACCGCGAAGGACCTCTGAACATGACCAATCAATCCTAGTTCGTCCAGGAATCGACTGTAACGTTTACATATTTCAGTCATATCTGTTGCGGAGTTACTCTGAGTCAGCACACTAATTTCAATCCACTCACACAATTTCATGAATGCCTGCGCCTTCACATCGCCATTCTGGGCCAGATCAGAATCCACTGCATCATTAGCAAGACGTTTCAGAGACTTCTTGTTTACGTACAGTGAAAAACAGCTACGGTGATACTTGATCTCATTCGCTGTACCATCCTGATTTTCAAGTTCGTTCAATATTCTAGCGTGTTGGCGTGCACGAGCAGCATCGAGCAGACTAAACTCTGCCTCGTATGTGGCGCACTGAGTAAATTTCTCTGCCAAGCGCCTGTTCTTCGCGTCAGGTTTATAATCCTGGCACACCACACACTTGCTCAGATCGTGCCTGTTGCGCTTCGGGTCTGCCTGCCTGATTCGGCTCCAAAACACTCTAGAGCAATCTTTTCTTCAAACGTCAAAGGCTTCTTGACGGACTCTGTATGCAGAAACCCACTATCTTAGAATGACTGGGTTCGAGTACATGTACAATTTCCGTATGCAGCGGAAGATTGCCATATCTAACAAATGGACAACTGTACAGACTTGCCGATACTTTTATCGTCTTCAGCAGCCACAACTTAGTCAGAAACAGCTCTAAAACATTTGTGAGCTCCTGGAACTTGCCACGAAACTTCTAAAATATGACTGTTTTTCGAAATGGGACCGCGCACTATCTGGGCACGTGCGGCGCTCCAGCAACATAGTGTGGTGCCCTATTGCTGGTACCCAGGGCAGGCACTGACCGAGGGGCCTCTAGATAAGGACAGACTTTTTTGCAAAACCAATTAGGTGGAGAGGACGGAACTCTCCAAAAACAACAAGTTACTCCAAAGCACGAAAAAAGGCCAAAAACTAAACCAAGAACATGTGCATTAACATGTTATTTAGAAAGACAGGACAAGTGAAGGACTGCCTCTCTCCCCCTTAACCATTACCGGTCTCAAAATATCGCACCAAAGAGTGCAGGCCCTCATAATTATACAAAAAATGGGTGAATGTTCCCGTATTCGGGCCGTCATGATGCTTCCCATCATAATCCTTCTCATCGAGTTTCCTATCACACGCTCTGGAATTGTGTTGCGCCAGGAGGAGACCCACTAACTGCCTACTGAAGACGGCATTCAGCACTGATATTACTGGAATTTCGACCAAAGAAGGCCTTAAGACCATACAAAATGTTCGCAGCGGATCTGTGACCACTGTTTACAAAATATGTAGGTTAGAGTGTATGAAAAATTCACTGACTTGTATATGCACGCTGTGACTGACGCCTTGTACTGTCGTGGGCATTGAAACGAGATGGGATGACCTGGGCCAGAGCCTTTCCTGCTTTCAGCGCGTACATGTACTGCAGTACACGCACACTCTGGAAAACTGGACCAGCAGCGCTCACGGTGGCAAGGCCACCAGTGGTGGATGGTATCTCACGGTCAGTAGTTTGAGTGAAAGCATTGTTGGCAGTGAACCATGCTTTGGGGGTGTGAGCATGTGCCTGCGCATGCTGAACTGCTTTTGGCTGCCACAATTAGCGATTGAGCAGCATGGCATATACAAATGTACATGTACATTGTAAATGTATTGCCACATGCATGCAGATAATGTTTGGCTGATTAAATGGACGCCTGCGACCTGGTGCCTCCCCTCCCTCTGGCCCTCCCTCCTTCCCTCCCTACCTCCCCTCCGCAATTGATCACTCGCAATTTCAGCGCTTAGTGGGCGCAGCTGAAGTGAAATAAAAATGTATAAAGTGCTCACAATGTCTCATACCTTGTTCTTGTTGGCTGTGGCCTACGTGCTGTTCGCAGTACTCCACCAAGCCTTCTGGCACCCTGGGTAGCCGCCCGCTAGGCTGACTCTCCGTCGTGCTGGTGCAGCGAGGACACAATCGCGCTCCTTCGCTGTCGGTGTGTTCGTCCATGCACGCACCACAGGCGATATGCAGGCACTTCAGGAATCTTCCCCCGCGAGGTCGTCGGCCGCACGACACGCATACGCACATGGCATCTACGGGATCCATGGCTGGAGCCAAGTACAGATCTGCGTGCAGCTAAACAAAGAACTACCGATTGAAAGCACACACACTCTACTCTAGATCTCTGGTTCTCTGTCGTTCGAAGCAACAAACTTTTACAAAGTAACAGGGAAGGTTATCATGGTTTTCTCCCTTTCACATCTCAGTTTGATATCAAAATCATGTGCGAGCTAGGTAATAGGCTGCTACATATGCATATATGCCATGTATACCTGACTGAGAGGCTGAAGATCCAGGCCAGATGAACAATGATTATGATCTTCGGCATCTGCGTTACAAGACTGAAGTATAAAAATGGTCTTCATAGTTCATGTGAGTTTCGGTCGGTGGCATTTTGTTGACGCGAACGAAATCGAAACTCCTATGCTTGATGCGTTTCGTTTCTTCGATTTCGATTTCGCTCCGGTCTAGTAGAAAGCAAGCCACCGCAGTGCACCACATCTACGGGTACATGACTAAACAGTAGCGCTACTATTAGTACTAGGCTAGACTACAATGTTATCATGGTTATCATGGTTATGCCGCCTGCAAACAAGTGCCATGGAGAGTCGAATAACATTTGGGCACTAACACTGAGTCTGTGAAGTCAGGCACAGATCCTGCAGAGTCGAGTCTTGAAGAATGAGTGTGGATGACCTATACTATGTTTTTGTGTTATGTGAATCGATCGTCAAGGCCAAGAAAGACATTTTGCCTTCCTGCCTCTTGGCACATTGCTTGGCATAGAGACATGTCATTATCGACACGTAACGACGTTACGTACATGTATGTATCCGAGTCCCATGAATGTCAGACTCGTAGAACATCATTATCACTGGAGCTAAGCGGGACCATTGTCATTGATTTCAATTTTGTGTGATTGTTATGGATTTCACCAGCGGGAGAAAGGCTCCACTGATAGAGCAGCTCTGGCTCACTCTCCGTGAGACTTCGAAGGCCATGGACTCGATGTCGCTGTGCGTGTCCTGCGGACAACGACCGCGCCGCGGCAGGTTCCTGAGCTGCTTGCATGTTGTGTGCTCGGCTTGTGTGGACGAGCACACGCACAGTGATGGAACGCGACTGTGTCCGCGCTGCACGCGCACGACGAAAAGTCGGCCAGGAGGTAGTCAGCTACCCAGGGCACCCGACGGTCTGGTGGAGTATTGTGGACGGAGCTCAGATGACGACCTTGGCACCAGTAAGTAGATTTCTGTTCATTGTTCCCCCCATGAGGAAATGTAGATATACGGCGTAAGTCCGACTCCCGCTACAGGGTCGAAAGTTCTACGCTAGACCGATTTCTCGGCCGATGCTCCGACATGAAATAATTCGCCGAATGTGTTGGGCGAGTCGGACACCAGCACTGCCTGGTTCACACTTGTACTAAGTAGCTACAGTCTGTCCACAAAAGGAATGCAGTGCATCTCATGAGAACTGAAAGTCATTCACTTTGTTTGCACTGGGCCAAGTCATCTTTTTTGATACTTTTTTTTTAACGAAGAGCACGCTCTATTGTGCATCCACCTCAATTTTGTCTGTGTTGTTCACATTTCCCACTTGCGAAATATATGAACAAGTCACACTGCATTCTTTTTGTGGACAGACTGTAGTTGTAGGCAGAGTTTTTCGGTGCGCATGGAGTTGTTCGAAAATTGTCAAGGCTTTTTTCTCGGCTTTCGTATCACAGCATGCATGTGGAGCTAGAGAGAGTTGAATTACTGGTAGAATAGACATGGTTAGCATTTTACCATTCACGCTATTTTCGACGGTCGGCGCGCAGAGGGCGAGTCTACTAAACAGAGCGTTCTATCGTCGAAACGGTACCAAACCGACGGTATTTTGGGTGTTGGGTACGAGTACCGTTGGATCTAGCGTGAGCGGTAAGATGTCATGTCTACACACACACACACACACACACACACACACACACACACACACACACACACACACACACACACACACACACACACACACACACACACAAAAACGTACAGGCCGACCGTCGAAAATAGCGTGAACGGCAAGATGCTGACCATGTCTATTGTGAACTCGCTGCACTGGATGATTACCATTGATTATGGCTTGCCTTTTCAGGCTCTTGGCCCTGTAGACTGTAGTGTAGCTCGTGTAGAAATGGGCTTGAAAGTGCTACGTCACAGCATAGGAACAATTTCAAAAATTCAAAAACTGGATGCAGTACCGTTTTCACCTACATAATCTTGTATATGGAAACGTGCATTTTTGTTATGACATGATTTTGAATAATCTTCATCTGTCCTGTGGGTTTTTTTCTTGGGATTCACAGGTCAATTGAGTGACGACACCGGCAGCAGCGGAGGAGGAAACACCGACCAGCAGTCGACAGTGTTTTGTGACGAGTGCGTTGCCGACACGGCAGCATCTCACTGCTGTGTGGACTGTGGGTTCTCACTCTGTACGTACCACTCACTCGATCACGCCATGAAGCGCGGATATGCTGGCCACCGCGTTGAGGCCCACGCGTCTGTTGCTACTCGTTCGCCCGCCGAAAAGCCGGAGAAGAAAGCCGAAGTGGCAACCGTGTGCATGGTGCATCCGAGCCGAACCGTGACGAGCTACTGCACGACGTGCGAGCTCCCACTCTGTGATCGCTGCCTCAGTGATGGTAGACACAAACAGCACGATGCCGTAGATGCAGTGGAGTTTGTTGACGAGTGCCTTGAGTCGCTGGTGGAGATGTTTGGCCTGCCAGCGAAGGCCGATTCACCAGCACTTGACCCAAGGACAGAGCGTGAGGGCACCGATCAGCCGTCATCGCAGCTCTACGGTGAAGATGGAGAGATGGCGCCAGATAAAGAAGACCCTGCAACAGACTATGCTGCATCAGCCGAGCTTCCTCTTTCCCCTGCTGCGAACGTCTTCACTGGCTCACTAGCGTCAGCCCTGAGCATGCCGACTGACCAGGGAGCCTGTGGAAATAACGAGAGTAATCACTTGACCTTCAGTGGGGCCGGTTCGCATGTTAATTCGGACGCGTCTTCTGTTGCTGACGAACGGTCGACCAGCCCAACCTCCTCTCGCCAGGAACATGATTCTCTGCAAGATGCTCTGGAATCTGTCGTGACACAGCAGGAACAACTATCCTCAGCTGTCAGCGATTTATTCCAAGAAATCAGAGATACCATCGCCAGGAAAGAGGCGGCACTGCTCGCAAGAATCGACCAAGTAGCATGGCGTGCCCTAAAGCCCCTAGAGCAGCAGAGGGACGCCGTTCAACAGACCTCGCTTGCAGTCGAGCGAGCAATTCACATCCTGAAATTCTACACCGAGTCTGGAGAGAGCAGGCTGCCACTGCTGCAAATCCTGGAGTGGCTGCAGGCACTAGATGTTGACGAGGGAGTAGTAGCCATTCCTGATCCCTGCGTTGTCCTGAACGTCAAGTTCGATGCAGAAATTTGCCGGCGCAATCTCCTGTTGCCAGATTCCACAGAAGCCATTGCAGACAACACAGCAATTCATGCAAAGTCGACGGCTGCCGTTCGTACCATTGCGCCACAACATCAGCGCCGGGACTGCACTGTCTGGATTGGAGTCGCCGCACGCACAGCAGACGGGACACTGATTGCGTGTGAAGACCTTGCCAGCGACGATTCGTGGCACTTCACCTTCAGAGAGGAGTCGGGCAACGAATACGTGTGGATGCTTGACACACCGTCCTTATCTACTGCAAATGTTACAGAGTGTAAGTGAAACAGCGGTACTAACGCACACTTTCGATAAGCAGATTCCAGCTTGTACAGTTACCACTGCAGTGCTGTCGGGCGCCGAAGAACACCCAGCCTAAAATTCCACCAAGCACAGCATAGCAATATGCACACATTAACTCATCGGTGCATAAACTGTAGTACATGAAAATAAAAACTGTCTAGGCTAGGAGGCTGACCCTCCAGTGCTTCGGCGACCGACAGTATTCTTTCCTCTATACATATAATTGTCCAGGAAGACAGCAGGATGGTGGCTATTGGCTATAATTTGGTTAATGTGATTATTAGGAATTCCACATATTTGAGGGCTACATAAGCTCAAGGGATTCGAAAAGGACCTGTATCTTATCTTCTTGACATATATTTTCTCCCAAAATTTAAAATTTGTACTGAGTGTCCAACTCACTCTATTCATTGCGTAAGTAATCTGCCTAAATGCCCTGTGTGTTTGTTGTCTTTTTGCTTGTAGACGCTGCACCGGCAGGAGTAATTATTTCATATTCATCTACGGCATGGGACATAGTGGAAGCAGGTCGGCAACAGGTTGGCATCAATTCGGGAATCAAGGTGCATCCCAAGGCACCGGTCCCAGTTCAGCAGGTGTCTCACAATTCTCAGCCAGCCGTTGCGATCGGGAGCACGGCTAGTCTTCCAGCGCGAAGTCAGGCATTTTCCGCAGCAACGGGGATGTGGGACAGCGGTAGTTCGGGAATCACATGCAAGCCTTGTGTTGGCTTTCGGCAGGACGAAGATCCCAGCTCCTCATTTGATGTGGTATTCCACATACCGAAGGATCTTTTCTGGACGCCACTGACGTTGCAGGTGTACTTGAACGGTAAGCCGATATCAGACGGTACCCCGACTGCTGTTCTCAATATTGCTCTTAGCATTGCACGTGCACAGTTTCAGTAGATCGTACCGCAGTTCAATCATGAAGAGAAACTCTTAGTGCGCTGCCATACTGAAATTCTGGGTCACTGACCGCTGATCCAGACTGTCAAAGCACTAGCTGGTCCAAATCACAGCTAGCTCAGCACCACCAGTTACTCTATGTGTTACAGGCCTGTATTCCCATTGCCTCATGCATTTCCTGCGACCTATTCTGTGAAAGCCAAGATGAACTGCATACAAGTCATCTTAAATCTTCACCTACATGTATTGCAGTCACTTGCAAGATAGTTCCTAAATAACATACACTAGCTGATGTTGGAAGATGATACTTCCCGTGAGCCAGTGGCTTTACTTTTAGTAGGCAGAACACTTTGCTCAGGTCATGCTTCAACAAGCCTGCTATTTGTTTGTTTTAAATCTCTTTTCTGCATACTTTCGAATGGACATGCATGACAATCAGCCACCTCCATGGCTGCTGCAATGCCGTTGCTGGTACCAAGGCTTTGTCACAAGAAAACGTTTTCGTTAACTCTGATTCGACTTTGCTTGAATATGTGTGTTTCGATAACAGCAGAACGAATTTTATTGCTAGCCAATGCTTCTTTTTTCTTTTCTTTTTTTTCTTTCTTTCGGACCATTTTCCGACACGGTTTGGGCATTTAGAAATGACCTGCAAAATGATCTCGCTTGTTTCAATGAATAGTTTCCGACATCACCCTGCATGTACATGTATAGTGCTGGCAACTGAAATCCGATCCTCCCCCCCCCCCCCCCCCTAGCGGTGCGCTAGCCGCGTTAGCGATTCGTACGAGACGCTATGGGGGTCGGATTTCAGTTGCCAGCACTGTACAATGTACAATGTACATGTATGTTCTTATGCGATGTAGAAAATCTGTGGTTGCACATCCAGTGCATTTGGAGATTTGCGTGCTTCTCTTGCAACGGGCGTATACATGGTACATGGTACATGGTACGTGGTACATGGTACATGGTACATGGTACATGGTACTTACCGTATTTTCCGGGGTATAAGCCGCACCCCCCTTTTTGAGGCAAAATATTGACTAAACGTTGATATTCGGAGTATAAGCCGCACCCACAAACCAAGATTTTTCACACTCATTGACAAATGGCCTTTCTACAAATTTATTATGGTTATTGAGCTAAATACCTTGTTAGATCAAATTATGAAGTGTTAGTGCACCACAGGTTGCTGCAGAGATGTTGGTGTATTGCTGTGTTGACCATGGTTGACTACAGATCACGCCATGTCATCTGCACTATCTTCAGTCTCGCTGCCACTGATGTTGATCAGCAACACAGGCGCGAAGCTGAGTCGAATGACATGTCACATGACGTCAGCATGCATACTGATGTATGCTAAGCATTCATTCGCGCAAGCATATTCGGTGTATAAGCCGCAGGGGCGATTTAGGTCCGATTTTTAGCGAAAAAAAGTGCGGCTTATACCCCGGAAAATACGGTATGTGATGTACATGAACATTGCAAATGTTGATGAGCATTTCGGTGTGTTGCGTTAATTCCATAATAGTGCCGCGCAATCTACGCTACACACAGGACTTTCCAGTTTTGAGCTTGAACTGGTTCAAAATATAGTCTTTGAGTCATAGCTGCACAAACGCATCAGGCGGAGAAAACTCTGTGACTGGTGTACAAGTATTAAAAACGCTGTAACTGTGGGACTGGAGTGGTGCAGGCGAATATGTAATTCTGCTCCAGTGCCAGTGGATATTGAGCACCAGCCCTTCTCAGATTGTGCCGGCAGGAAAATTGACAGAATCTCGTGCATTTTCTGGTATGTTTTCTGGATGTTTGGCACATGTACTGTCTTGGACATGGAAATCCAATCGAAAGACCGGGGCCGGCCCCCTCCGAACGTTGCATGCATGTCATGTTGATCGGATGCGACCAGGGCGCTGCAGCCCAAAAATGCATGTGTGTAGATCTACAACTTACCCACGGCTGCATGGCCAGCGCCCTGGGGCCGCCAGACGTGCGACCGGATTTCCACCTCCAAGACAGTACCTTGTACATGCATAAAGAAATAATACTACTTGAACTAATTATTACTAGTATAGGGCTTGAAAGTGATGACGTCAAAAGCGCCCAGGGAGTAGTAAATTGACATCAGATTTCTATTTTGGATCCACTAAGGTGTGACTTTGCTATTGCCTAAGTATGTGGGTGCATAGCAGCCCACTCATGTCGCATGCAGGTGTGACTTTTATTTCGCCACCAGTTGTCACCCCGCCCCCATTAGCCAAATCAGTCAGTTTCACTGGCTAGATCACCTTGTTGTGAGTAAGACCGCTTGAAATGTGCTTGGATCCATACGTGGATCCAGTTTTTAAATTTTTGAAATTGTTGCTATGCTGTGACGTAGCACTTTCAAGCCCTATTGTGTGGCAGAGATCAAGGAAGTGTGTGCCATGAGGCTTGTACCATGTTCTACAATGTACATGTAGTTCTGACACTTCCGTGGACCTGCGCTGTGGAACACTCTGCCAGCCAGCGTACGTTCCTGCGAAGCCGTGGCCGATTTCGCAGCAGCCGTGTACACTCTCAGGCCATAAACGTTTTTAAAGAAGAGAAGCAGTGATATGCACACACACACACACACACACACACACACACACACACACACACACACACACACACACACACACACACACACACACACACACACACACACACACACACACACACACACACACACACACACACACACACACACACACACACACACACACACACACACACACACACACACACACACACACACACACACACACACACACACACACCATGTGCCATGTACCATGTATACGCCCGTCGCAAGAGAAGCACGCAAATCTGCAAATGCACTGGATGTGCACCCACAGACTTTCTCTTTATAGCAACGATAGTGGATCTGATTCTGATTGAAACAGATCAAGACAAGCGCCAGATAACTGTCTAATCCACACAACTGGCGAAGCCATGTGAATCAACCCCCAATGCACACCTGGTCTACACCACACGGAGTACATCGGAATAGGACGGCCAAGACAGATACCTATGCACACCCTACACTTGCTGGGGTAGCCAGTATAGACAGCACGCTGCTTTGATCAAAGCAGACACTAGATGCACTGGTACCTTGAGGTGGAATTGGAGCACACACACACACACACACACACACACACACACACACACACACACACACACACACACACACACACACACACACACACACACACACACACACACACACACACTCACACACACACATACACACACACGTACACACACACACACACACACACACACACACACACACACACACACACACACACACACACACAAGGACAGTATGTATAGGCATATAACGAACGGTCTTTTCCTGTTAGCTCTGTTTGTCCAGCACATGAGATACAACGTCTTTCTTGTTGTTTTTCTTTCTGCATGTAGCTGCTTGCAGCATGGTAAACGACAGTACCATGGCCTTTTCAGATTTTCATTGTACCTATTTGTAGTACCTCCCGGGATCAGTATCTCCACTTGAAATAATATTCACCCAAATGCCTCATTCTTAGCATTCTTTTATTCGCTTCCGTGTAATTGGGCTTATTGCCCGTTTGGTATTGCGAATTCAAATAAAAAGAACAACAACACTTCGAGCTTTATCCGCCCAGGGCAGTCTATCGAATCGGAGGACTACCATTATGCACAAGTCCATGATTGTAGATCTACGTCACGTACATGTACATGTACGGTACATGATTGTCATGTATGAAATCGGACAGCCTGAATCTTCGCATTCACCTTTTCGAAGATACCAAAAGCTTTCGCGTCATAAATGTTTCGGTTGTCGCCATAAAGTTAGTCTATTGGACATACATGGTATGTTAGGTGGAGATGGAAATGGAAATACCCTATTAGTATTGGACATACAGGAGAGAATGAAAAACAGTCAAACGTCGTGGAATACGCAATTCGCCTATAGCCCTTTCCCAAAGATGCCATAAGTTCTCGCAACCTATGCTTTTTGCAAACGTGCCAAAACAAGTGCAAGTTGCTGAAATCGCATCCATACTACGTCGTGGAATACGCAATAGCCCCTTCCCAAAGGTGCCATACGTATTCGCAATTTATGCGTTTTGCAAACGTGCCAAAACAAGTGCAAGTTGCTGAAATCGCACCCATATTTATATCAGAGAAAGTAGCGCGGGGACAGCAAAATCGCACACCTCTTCCTAGATCCTGCTGTGAACCACAACTGTACACAGTGCCAGTAGCCTGTGGCTAGTCATCGGCGGATAATGCCGGCATCGAGCATAATCACGGCTTTCTGAAAAATAGCATTGCCAAACATAATTTTAGTTGATCCTTCAGCATAACTGCTGCATAAAACCGCTAGAGCCTCAAAGGTCAAACGTTCACCGTCCAGAGTCCGTTTGTTTCTCTCCTGCCTTAGTTCTAGGTACATGTACATGCACAGTCATTGTTGTCATGTACCATGTGTACTGGCACAACATGGCTGATTGTACATAAAGATTTCGAAGAAGAGAACTACTTTCGAAAACCAGCGGAGGGGAAAACCCTTTTGGCCTTTTGTCCTTCCCCTGCACCTGTGTCGTACTCCGCCGGCGACGAAGCACGCCCGTGCTGAGCTGCTGAGCCAGCCAGTACAGTGTCCAGTGAGCATGGTGAGCGCGAGCGTGGTCTAGCACAAGCGAAGCCAAGGTTCGCCACTACATGCAGGTATGTACTACCATGGCACTAGCATAGCACTGACAGAGTTTGTAGTAGGCACTTCAGTCACGTGACAAGACCTGTCAAATTTTGCTGAGGTCTGAGTGCATACTTGCGTGGTATCAGCCAAGTGCATGCGCAAAACTGTACAGGTACGCACCATGCTTCGTTGTACGGGCATGTAGTTCAGTGCATCATGCTGCTCTGACGTTCAGCTTTCAGTAGAGCCTACATACGTCATAGTGCGTACATTTTTACGACTTGCAGGTCATGTACACTTCCAGCAAAGAGTTTTTTCACAAGGAAATGTTGTTAGTACGCGTTGGAAACGTTGCCTATCGTCTTCAGCGTCGTGTTTCCATTCAGAAACAGTTGAGTTCTTGTTCACCAGGGTTTGCGCATAGCTGCGCAAGGAGGAAATATGGACGTAGATAGTGAGGAGAAGGGCTTGAGGCGGAGGAGAAAGATGCGTCGTCGTCCTACCTGAGCCAGTTTCAAAGCGTGCTGAAAGCCAATGTTTGACCCTGTTGTGCTTGAACGGCTACTGATGTTTACGAACAATCAAACGGCACAGTGGCTACAGGAGAAATCCTCCGATGAGAGGGACACTTTGATCGACGCATCCAGGCGCGCTGCACCAAAATTCTGTTCGAATTTCGAGGCTCGCCAGCAGACAATTCATGACTGCTGTATGGAGCAAGTGAAGGAGAAGGATCAGGTAGCACACGCAAGAGAGAACAACATCAAAAGGAAATGGAGACTTTGACGAAGATCACGGCTGTAGGTGGACTCTGGATCTCGAAGGAGGCAGCACAGGAGCAGCTCTCAAAAATGTTCTGTGTCACTGGCGAACGCCTTGCTCTCAATTCGCAGTTTCACTTCTGCAAGTTTGTTCTGCTGCAGAAGGTCCGAAGTAATTTAGTTTGCACTTTCTACTGGTACAAAGGAGCTGCCAATAGAGAAACTGGTTTCCAACATCGAACCTCTGTTTGAAGTGGCGTTAACGTGTGCACGTGCGTTGTGTATGCAGAAATTCCGCTTTCAATTCATTTAGCGGATGCTATCTCTGTGTGCTTACCTTCTGAGTGCCAGAAGAATGTCTTTTATAGCATTTAGCAGCGGCAGTTGCCTGCTGGTGAACTCTAATGTCGATACTAGCTTATTTCACAGCAAACCGAAGCTGTTACTATGGGGTTGCCATGGGTTACTATGGGTTGCTATGGGGTTGCTATGGTGATTGTGGTAACAATTGCCGTATTCTGGACTATTGTGAACTTTGATAAGTAATTTGTTGATCCATAAACGGTTGTTGGTGTTTGTGAGAGCCGTGTGTTTGAAAATGCCACTCTGATGTTTTGTAACTATATCCACTGATAACACTTTGGGGATGCTGTTGATACCACAAATTGTATTGCTTTCGCCTCGTGCAATTGCCTCTCTTCAACCCTTCATATCTCACTTGTGTCTTTGTGGATTTCAATGACCTCGTGATACCCACCACTGTCGATTTACGATGCTAAACCTGGGAGAAACCCAACTTGAAAAAACCGGCTGAAGTGCCTATTTGTAGATCTACTAAGTACTAGTCTATCAGCTGAGTAGAACACCTCAACCGGCACGGCTCAGTGTTATAACTAATTACTTATATGATTAGCATGCCAAATTTTGGCATGACCATGGCCCGGGTAGATCGACGCCTACGGCCGGCTACGGATGTGGATGGCGAGGCCAACACAGGGCTAGGGACGCGGCGTAGACTAGACATCTACTATTATGTAGATCTACATCATAATCTTTCACTCTACAACACTACAGACCCAGTCATAATGATTTTTGTAGTGTAGGAGGGCTTGGCTACAAACAAATCTTCAACTTCAAGTCGGGTCAGTCCTCCATGGTCCTCTGTTGTAGCTCTAGTCGATCCAGTCTGTGCGCGCAGCTTGCGACAAGGTATATCGTAACTATTAGTATTACATCAGTGTGTTATCATGGTTATGACATAGGTGTGTGTTCAGTGAGCATGAGTCTTCCACAGAGCAATGATTCTGCATACGAGTAGTAAACAAATTAGACCCGCTCTGCATACTGACTGAGCCACAGTGCAAGCCCGTCCCTTTGTTTTACTTGTGCAGTTTTAGACCTTCGTGCAAAACACAGGTCCCTCTGGTTTGAGTAACGTCCAAGCGCCTTTCAGGATTCTTGCACAATCATAGTCATTAGTGACCCGTCGAGCGGATCTTTGACTTTGGCACGATGGACACCATGTTACTGTGCGTGTCGTGTGGCCAACCACCTCGTGGCGGTAGGTTCCTGAAGTGCCTGCACGTCGCCTGCTCGGCATGCGTGGACGAGCACACGCACAGCGATGGATCGCGTCTGTGCCCGCGCTGCACGAGCACGACGGAGAGTCAGCCAGGGGGTCAGCTACCAAGAGCACCGGAGTGTCTGACTGACGGAGCCGTGCGAGGCTCGGACCACTATCATTCAGGTAATACCAAGAAATGTTACAAACAATAGACACCATCCAGAACAGGGTTACAAACTCCTCTCCGTCGTATTTGTCACATTCCACTACAAAAATGATTGCATGAAAATAAATATGACATATTTATTTCATTGTAAATAATCGTCGAGGAGGCAAAAACCATGGTACAGTAAAACGGGAAAGTCTAACGAGTCGCAAAGTCGAACGTTTTAACGACCAGTTTTTTTTCTTCGTTATTTGAAGAAACGGTATCCTGAACCCAGTTTGAGATTGAAGAAGGGTTGAGGCTTCCTGCAGCTTCATCTGTGAAAAGAATTCGGGTGGACACACCCATTCCCATAGCGCTGCATATCACATCCGAACCAGTTCCGTTATTTTACAACGTTTCGGCACTTGGCCATCATCAGGTAATAACAATGAATACCGTGGAAGCCACACAAGAGCAGTATATACGCAGAGTGTAGCGCCAAAAAAGATGCGAATTATGTCACCTAGTATGACAGAGAGAGAGAAAAAGGCGCAACTAGCACATCACGGAGGAGAAGCAGCAAAAGGTAGCGCGCATTGTGCTCTGTGAATGGCGTTGCACAGAGTGTAGCGCCAAAAAATAAAATGATGCGAGTTATGTCACCTCTATACAGAGGAGGGGGGGGGGGGGGGGAGAGAGAGAAGGTGCAACTGTGCACATCACGGAGAAGAAGAGCGCGCCGTTGTGCTCTACGAAGTGAGGGTACATGCCAAATAATTATGGTGTTAATTCTAGCACAGGATCTAGGAGGGGAGCACGGAGCCCCATGAGTCAATGCACTATGAGGTTAAAACTTCCATGCCAAACTGTTACCACCAGGGACGCGACGAGGCATCAGGAATAGAATGGTTTTGAGTGACCCGCCTCATATTATAATTATTCAGTGATATTGAAGTAGCAGCAGGGGAAGCTGAGAAAATTCACAACAAATCCCATCCGGTGCTTATGTTCACATGGGGCTTGGCATCACGAATCTCAATCGCCTCGCGCAGTTTTCGACGGGCTCGATCAGGCTCTCTTCCTATTACTTCAACTGCAGAGAATGCACTTTGCCCATAGTTAAGCTTACATCCAGGGTGAGTGGTGCGAAAATGTTGGCCCCATGGCTTGTCGAGTTCCTGGCGTCTTGCCTCACCATTATGTTCTTCCAGGCGAGTTTCCAGAAAGCGGCCAGTCTCACCAACATATTGTTCCGGACATTCTTTGCACTTCAGCTGATATACAACATTCTTCTGCATACATACATCCTGTCCCCCGGATATACACGAGATACATGGCCCCTTTGGGCGACCTCTCTTTTTCGGTTGTAGCGGATTTGCAGCCTTGACACATAGAGGAGGAACGAGGGCGGAGCGACACAATGTGCGCCTCAGGCTACCAGTGTGCTCATATACGACTCTAACCGGAATTTTATACTTTCTGATTGCTTTATTCACTGCTTGATGTACTTTATCTGACTTATATGGAAGCTTTAGAAATGCGCAGCATGGGTTGGCATGGCGACGACGCTTTGGCCTTATGGAGGCAGTGCGTGCCTCTTCAATGATTTTCTCTGGGTAATTGTTCAATCTTAATTGCTCATGAACCATCGCTTCACTTTCTGCACGCATTCTGGTATTCGATGAGAGCCTCTGAGCTCTTAGGAATTGTGACGAAGCAACTGCCAATTTGATATGGTGGGGAACTGCCGAAGTATAATCAATGAGTAGACCACTAGCACATGCCTTCTGGTACAGCTTGTATGCCAGCTTGCCTTCCTGGATCATAATTGTGATATCCATATAATTTATGGAGCCACTCACCTCGCTGAGCTCATATGTGAAGTTGATACTTGGGTGTGCAGAGTTGAAATGCTGCACAAACCGCATCAAGCTCTCTCTGCCGTGGGTCCATAGCAGCAGGATATCGTCGATGTAGCGTTTGTAGAGGAGCGGTACTAACGGAGAATCCTGCAGAAGCCTGGCCTCAACCGTATGCATGAATAGAATCGCAAATGGGGGTGCAAGATTGTTACCCATTGCAACCCCGTCCACTTGGTGATAGATCTGATGGCCGAATCTGAAATAGTTGTGGCTGAGAACAAACAGCAGCAGATTCCGTACCCCGCTCACACTCAGCCCAAACATGTCGATCCGCTGGGAATACTGCTGCAGCATATCCACCACTGCCTGAACGCCCTCCCGAATAGGTATGCTCGGATATAACCCGACTACATCCATGGACATAACAATGGTGCCATCGGGGGCGTTCAATCCCGGACATGCGTCACAGATGTGGGTTATTGCTTCCGTCGTGTTAGCCAGGTGGGCCGGGACAAATTGAATGAGCTGCTGTAGGATGCGCTCCAATACAATAGATACTCCAGTCGTTGGGCTGTCGCACGCTGCTACCACGGGTCGCAATGGTAAGTTCTGCTTATGGTCCTTTGGAAGACCGTACCACTCGGGGAACTTCGTACTGCTTGGTAGGATTGACTTTAGGAGTTTTGAATCCATGTTCTTGCACTCTGACAGTATTACTTCTCGTGTCTTGGTCTCGTAGGACTCTATGGTCAAATCTACTTTCTCATACATGGTCATGTTCGATAATATGTCTTCTGCTTTCTGCAAATACAGCTCCTGTCTCATAGCAACGAGTTTTTTACTTTTATCCGATGGTTTGATGATGGTTTCTTGGTCTGTGCGAAGTCGCTTCAGCTCCACCCGCTCCTCCTGCGTCAGATTGGGCTTAGCGGGTGTGTGTCTGTCGTAAGCTCGTAACACCTCGTCGCGGAAGTTGGCCATGTTCCTTTCGTCTTTGTCGTCCATCTGTGGGGGCTGCTTAAAGCCACGCTTCATCAGCTTCCACAATTTCTTGTCCTGTCTGATCTCTGGCGGTGGGTCCTCCTCTTTGAGGTCCACACCCTGAGGCTGGGGCTGTTGCCACCGGAGGGTGAACGCCATCCTCTCAACCGATGTCTCAACATCTGTTCGTTCTTGCTTGGTGAGCCTCCCCGTCGACGGGACAAAGCTAGGTCCATGTTCCAGCAGACGCCTTGTCTGGTCGGACACACAGTCGCCCACCACCAACGCCCGCTCATTGACTGGCTCAGCATTGGTCGTATGCCCACCGGGTGACGCAACACCAACGGCGGCAACAGGAGTTGGGCCGCGGGGTGAGCTGTTGGTTCCTGCCACACGTTGATCCGCCTCTCGAAGCCCAGAAATCTTCCGATTTAGTCTGGCGTTGGAACTTATTCGTTCTTCGGTAACCACTGCACGTTGAAGAGAACGGATCAATAGGTAGTCCGACTGTGTAAACGTCCACAGTTGCTCTCTCTCTCCCCCCCCCCCCCCCCTCCTCTGTATAGAGGTGACATAACTCGCATCATTTTATTTTTTGGCGCTACACTCTGTGCAACGCCATTCACAGAGCACAATGCGCGCTACCTTTTGCTGCTTCTCCTCCGTGATGTGCTAGTTGCGCCTTTTTCTCTCTCTCTGTCATACTAGGTGACATAATTCGCATCTTTTTTGGCGCTACACTCTGCGTATATACTGCTCTTGTGTGGCTTCCACGGTATTCATTGTTATTACCTGATGATGGCCAAGTGCCGAAACGTTGTAAAATAACGGAACTGGTTCGGATGTGATATGCAGCGCTATGGGAATGGGTGTGTCCACCCGAATTCTTTTCCCAGTTTGAGATGTCTGTGTAAAGGTGTGCATACATCGATGCATGTATGCATGTTCTTTCCGTTCTACAAACATCATTTTAAACTTTCTGCACGTTATCATGCCAAAATTAGAACAAACTTGAACAAAGTTACACTTTTCGATCGTTTTTAAAAACTTTCCGGTTTTACAGTGTTGAAATAAAGCCTGTAAGCGCGCTCATTAGCAGTGCAAATGCAACAGTCGAGTCGAAAAGAGCGTGTTTACAGTCTTTATTTCAATACTATTGTAAATGGATGTTCGTGGTAGAACTTGCATGTGGTAATTTTAGATGGATTTTACATGTCAAAATTTCAACAAACAATGGATCACTCCTGTGTTTTTTTTGTTTGTTTTTTGGCTACTCTGAGTAACGAAACACTACGAGTGATCCATTGTTTGTTGACATCTGTCATTGCTCCCCCCCCCCCCAGAATTTGGATGTTGAGCACTTTTTCTGCAGCTGCAGGCATAGTCTTACTGAGATGGATGTATTTTAGTGATGTAACGAACCATGAATTATACGAACGAATGATCTAGCGAATACCACTCGAGCAAACGAACGATTATTCTACTATTTGAATGCAAAGTGTACATGTCAAGTAGCAAACACACAGCACAAGCGCTCAGACTCTGCTCAGACTCTGCTCAGACTCTGCTCAGACTCGAGTCAGAGTAGAGTCAACCATCCCCGACTGTCCTTGGTCTACCGCGCGCAGTCTATGCTATCGTAGTCTGCAACACAGTACAAAGCAAATTGATGCATTCAAGTCGAGAGATCTAGGGTCGCGCGCGCGGATATGCAGCGCACGGACTTCGCCCGTCCATGAATATTCAAATTTTCAAACCTTCGACCTAGATTAGATCCGATCGATTATTCGTTGAGGTCCAAGAGATCGAGTAAATTCGAATGATCGATTCTTCGTTACAACACTATTATTTTTCCAAGAGACATGCCCCGCAAATGTGACTCTGGCTTAGGAAATACGATAGTAAAGTTATGACCGACAGGCAAGGTGATCACCACAATCACCATGCCCGAAATTGTGCAGCCTAAGAAGTACAGACTAATGGAGTCGGTGAAAACTGGCCCAAGGCACACTTCCAGCGCTGAAGGTCACACACACTGGCACTATCGAAATCAGTCCACTCAGTGTTTGCTCCAGGGTATCAAGCCCACCGGGTGCACGTGCAACTGGCACAACTCTAGAAACCGGGCCAGAGCCGGGGATGTTCAGCTGCGGCTACTGTCTGTACATCAGGGAGTCGTAAATACTTGTTTGGTGTATTGAAATTTTAGGTATGAAACAGACGCAGCGAAAGCACCGAAAATAAAAGTACAAAGAAAATTTGTGAAATTACAATTACACCTGGTCACGGTACTACTCCTTTTGTATTTCATCTTTTTGAGAGGGAAAAGAAAGGAGAAGAAACTTTGTTTACACAAGGCATTTTATTGTGCGTGATTTTTTGGCGTTTGCTTGTAGGTGACTCCTATGCTCAATGGAGCGGGCGAAATGACCGGGTTGCCAGCAGTGCTGCCGCAGCAGCGGAACAGCATCTGTGTGACGAGTGCATAGAAGACAAGCCAGCGACGCATCGGTGTGAGGACTGTGACTCGGTGCTGTGCAGCAGACATGCTGGCAGCCATCCCAAGCGTCGGCGATTCGTAGGCCATCGGGTCGAAGAACTCTCGGCAGCAGCCCACCGAACTCTGAGTCCAACCGAGCAGCTTCCAACTGCCCGCCCCAGGGTGGAAACGATGTGCCCTCTGCATACCCACCTGCCGTCAGACAAGTACTGCAAGTCCTGCCGCGAGGTCGCCTGCGCTCGCTGCCTGGCAACCGGTGCCCACGGCGACAGTGCCAAACACGAAGTAGTAGCCGTTGGGGACTACGCTGCAGAGTGGCTGCAGGAACTCGTCAAGCTGTTCGGCGCACCTGGCAGCGAGCCCGATGATGTTTCCCGAGCCACGAGTAGAAACCACAGTGTGTACGTCCCCAAGAAAGGAGATGGTGACGACGTCAGCTTGGATGACGATGATGCAGATCACCTGGACGGTGGATTGGAGAGCGATGTGGCAGTGTGTCCGTACACCAAGCCGGCTGCTGAGTGGGGCAGCCTGCTGGGAATTCAGTCTATCCAGAACGAAGTTGAGTCCGTCCTCGACTCCGTTCTCCAACAGCACGAGACCCTGTCACAGGCAGTCGGTGGTGTTTTCGAGAAGGTGCGTGCCCAACTTGATCAGAACGAAGCACGTCTGCACACCAAGATCGATCAGATGACGTGGCACGCCATGAAGCCACTGGAGGATCAAAAGGAGGCCCTGAACCAGTCGATGCTCGCGTGCGAGCGAGCTATCAGCCTTCTTCAGTTCTGCTCCGCTCAAACGGAACAAACCGCACTGCTGCTGCGTCTTTCCAAGTGGCTGCTGGCGCTGAAGGAGAGGTGTGACGTGATGGGCAAACAGATTCCTCACGTCAAACAGCACGTACAGTTCAATGCACAACTGTGTGAAACCAGCATCCTGGCGTTCGACATCGCCGAGAGCATAACCGATCGGACCGTGGCCGCTTCGGCGTCGACTGCACACGTGCATGTGCTTCCACCTAGCCTGGACACGTGCAAAGTGTGGGTTGGGGTATGCGCCTGCACCGCTGACGGCAGATCCGTTGTCTCATGGCTGCTGTCCGATCAGGACGCGTGGCACGTCGACATGACGACCGGGTCGGGCGGCGACTTCACGTGGCGCGTCCAGGTGCCTAGGTTGCCATTATCAACCGCCATGGACAAGACCCTGGGTGAGCGGAAAGGTGAGATTCACCTTGTGTCTCTTCAGCCGCCCATGCCATACAGTAGGATCGGGCGCCTCATAGCAATTTTTTTGAGGTTTTGGTATAACAAAAAAATATTCAAAATAGTGCTAGTGATTTCAGAGATAATTATAAGAAAGTTGGTGGCTTCCACCACTGCACCTCAATCTTTCCCTCTCTGACTTGACACTTGATGGACTCGCTTCTGCCATCCAGAGTACACGAGACATCCGTCAAAAATCCGACTCGGAAACCCTGCAACTAAACATCCCTTCTTGCTCAATATAGGCATATTGGTTCAGGGAAGTCACCCCTCATGAGTTGAGCTTTAGTTGCCTGAGAAGGATTTTGCCTGGAGAGCATCACTTTTGTAGTGCTCTCCAGGCCAAAACATGACCATTGATACAATCTTCTAGAGAAACTCTGTTTCTTGCTCTACACATCGATGAGCAACACGAACTCATACTGCTGTCTAGTGCTAACAAGGTGTTTCTCGTGGTGGGAACAGAGTTTTGCTTCAAGTTTGTATCAATGGCAATGTGAATCTCACATATTTCCCGCCAACTTGATTTGAGACTTGACTGACTCACGAGTGCTATCCGGAGCACACGAGAAGTCCATCAAACCTTCGACATGGCATACCTGTAAGAAAGCACCACTCCCTGCTCAATACCCAGTGTTTCGGGGAATTTCCCCCGACTTTTTGGGTACTCTCCAGGCCAACACATTCGCATTGATACAAACTTGAAGCAAAACTCTGTTCCCACCATGAGAAATACCTTGTTTGCACTAGACAGCAGTATGCGTCCGTGTTGCTCATCGATTTATAGAGCAAGAAACAGATTTTCTCTCCAAGTTTGTACTTGGTCCGCATCAGCGATATTGTCGCTAATCTTTCAGCTTTGTGTTATGTCGCCAAGGCTCACTTGGCAGCCCATTTCATCCCAATTTTGGTTAGTAAGTTAGTTTACTTGTACCTGAAAGGTCTAGCTAGATTTCGAGTGGATTTCGAGAGCGACGGGTGGGTGATTTTGATTGATACAGCGCCGCATCAAAATAGATGATCTTGTTACGCTGTGCAGGCAAGAGCGGCGCAAGCCACAAGAAAGTAATCGGCTACTCGGAATCAGCTCCATTTTGCTGAACGGCCGAGATCACTCACCTCAGGGAGCGCTCGTCAAGCTGAGATCGCAGCTCCCTTACCTCCAGCTCAACGCCCAGAGTGACCAGCGCGACAAGGAGATTTGCAAGTACTGTACGCGTTGTCGTCGTTCACAATAAAATCTTGCAAAGAACGGCGTCTGATTAGAACCACACAGACAGTCGTGCTGCCCACGTGAAGTCCTATAGAGAAGGTAACCGTCACGATCGACTTCTCTTTAGAAAATAGCCAGGCAGCGGAGAGGAAGAGAGATGAGCTTGCAAAAGCAAGAGAGTCGATCCCGAGCAAAAAATATTTGTCACCAGCGCCGAGAGCAGCGACGAGGAGGACCGAAAAAAGTATAAAGCCTTCCTTGGACAATAAATTCCTCATAGCTAGTTGTCATTCTATACCTTACCTTCCATTGTAACAAGTTTTGTGACTTCAAGTGCACGCGTTGATGTCCAAAGTCTCAGTTCAAATTGTCGAAAGATAAGCGACAATATTGCTGACGCGGACTCAGGTATCAATGCCATTGTGTTGGCCTGGAGAGCACCCTAAAAGTTGGGGGATATCCCCCAAAACACTGAGTATTATGCAGGGAGTGGTGCTATCTTACAGGTTTGCCATGTTGAAGGTTCGATGGACTTCTCATGTGCTCCGGATAGCACTCGTGAGTCACTCAAGTTTCAAATCAAGTCGGTGAGAAATATGTGAGATTCAGTGTTGGGTAGGGGTGAAACGAACATTGAATTTTGCTTTCAGGAACAGATGTCACAAGCGACTCGACTCCTTTCACTGCGAGTACAAATCTACCTCAAACGGACACACAGACTCCTTCAACTTGCTTCAAGTGCAGTTCATCAGCATGCATGCTCGCGATCTCCCGACCTCCGGCTCCTTCATCATCTAGTCACAAGAGATCTACATGCGTGCTTGCTGTGTTCGTTTATCAATCTTGCTAGTTTGTTCGTTCGTTTTCAAATTCTGCGAACGAATATTCAAACTTTCGTTCGTTCGTTTCACCCCTAGTGTTGGGAGCAACTAAGTTCCTTAAAAAATATGTAGCTATACCAAACACCGATCAGACTTATCTCCCATTCGTATTTCAGTGCTTGATTTATTTATATAAATCCTTTCTGGGCACATTTTTTGTTTCTTTTCTTTCAACTGCTCTGCAGCCAAGATGTCAGCAAAACCCAAAACGACACAGGAGAAGAGTGGCAAAGGATCCACTGGCAGCATTTCCCCTCTCCCACCAGCCACTGCAGCACCGATAGCCGTTCCCTCCGGAGAGGGAATCAAAACCGCTAGCCCTACCCCACCAGTTTCGGCGGCAGCAAAGCCTGTACAGTCTCGCAGAGCTGGTGCTACGGCCACCAAGACGGACACGGCAACACAGCCTGCAACGTCTGCCGAACCTACTGAGTCATTCACGTTTTTAAATGGAGGCTTATTTCACGCTGCTGATCGTCACACCGCCGGGCTCCCTAATAAACCGTCAGCGTCCGGAACGAAATTGCTTGTGGGTGGTTTCGGAGGACAACTACCTGGTTCTGTAGCTCCGACCGCAGACAGCCCTAAAAAACCGCCAGCGTTCGGAGGAAAATCGCTGGTCCGAGGGCTCGGAAATCAAGTGACTGGTTCGGTAGCTGCAGAGCTCCCCACCGCAGAGCTCCGTAAAAAGCCACCAGCGCTTGGAGGGATGTCGTCTGTGAGAGGATCTGCATCTCAACGACCTGGTATAAGTGCTGGAGAACCTGCTGTCCCTCTCGGCTTTGACTTCTCGGCATCTGTAAGCACGAGCAGCTCTTCCAGTGGCAGAAGTAAGGACCCTCTTCCCAAGCTTGTATTTGGTTCGGCAACTTCTGCACCATCTATTGCAACACAGGCACCAGAAACTGGTCCTTTCAAGTTCGGATCGTCCCCCTCGGCCAATCTTGAGCCTGGTTCGGCAACTTCTGCACCATCTATTGCAACACAGGCACCAGAAACTGGTCCTTTCAAGTTCGGATCGTCCCCCTCGGCCAATCTTGAGCCCGTAACGGCCGTCGGGCTTGGACAACAGCAATCCTCTAGTGGCTTGACTAGTCTGCAAGTCTTCAAGAGCCCGGTACCTGCAGCTCGCTCCACGGTAACGGAAGTGTTGGACGACGATGCAGTGATCACGTACGATGCCGACAGTACACTGCGCCCAAGCATGGACTTACCAGGATCACTTCGGGTGTCGTTCAGTGCCGTGTTCAGCGTCCCACGTCGGTTCTTTTGCACGCCGATCACTATTCAAGTACGGCTGAACGGCAAGCCGATATCGTGCGTCGAGCCACAGGTCGTGAACATCGCCTACGACATTGCCGGTTCACAATTTGGCATGCGCACGGATAAGCGCGGGTTATCGTAACAAACGCTGTGCAACTGCACCAACTCTTCAAGCCGACAATGTGTGTCAAGCCCGAGGTCGTGCACATTGTTAACATCATTGCAGGCGCACACTTTGGCATGCCCACGTGGTTCACTGGGATTATCATGACACAATCTGTTCAACTGGACCAGCTCTGCAGCTGCATCGTAAAGTAGTGGGGTGATATTAGCTACATCTAGATGATGGTAATGTGTGATCTTTTTTTTATCTTTCTGCTACACGTTTGATAGGGAAGGAGGTGGCTCTACATTGAAACTGGCTATGCTGGAGTGTTGATGCAGTCATAAAGATCCTACTGTGCATTTTCATATCAATTGATTATAATTTTGTTGTAGATAATTATACTGCTCGCACTCCTGAATATTTGCCGCAAGTCTTGGACACAAGTTAGTGGTAGGGACATAGGTGAAGGCACTGATACATCTAAGAAGGTTAGTTCTCCCTCTCACTCTCACCCGCTCTTTCCCTGTCCACTTGACTGGACATTTGACTCGTTCAAAGTTGTCTTTAATTAAAGAAGATAAGCTCCCCAATTACCCCCCACCCCCCATGGCTCTCACCTTTTCCCATCCCACTAGTCTCATGTAGCCTAGTCTATGCATAGTGGTACATGAGCTATGTAACAGTCAAACACATACTGACAATGCGACTATTGCGAGTACTCTTGGTGACCAAAGAGTTTGTCCAACCATGGCCTGAATAACTGGGCCGGTTCCGCCGGGCCTGTGTACACTTCTTGAAATAATAAAATGTATTCTTTTGTGCTATTATTGATGTATTTGGCAACTCTTATAACGTTATCAGCACTTTGACATTGGCGGATCGTTCCGTGCAATAGTCATCACATCTGCATTATACTTCTCTTCGCTCCCTCAATGTATATCAGTGTATGTGGCAGAGGGTCTATCTTGATAAGCACTGGGTGCTGTCAACGAAGCAGAATGAATGACTTGACCATGCAATCATGAGTTAAGATTTAAAAAAATATGCAAGGAGTGTTTATAGAGGGTGTAATGAATGCAATTGGATGTCTCAACGTTGTTGTTCCACAATGCATATTTACATCTGGGTATTGGTGTATTGCCATGTTGGCTTGTTGAGGGCTGGGCCAAATAGAAAAAATATACACACAAACACACACACACAAACACACACGCACACGCACACACACACACACACACACACACACACACACACACACACACACACTGTTCAGTGGACGTCAATTCCCCTTCAGCAGCATCATGCGCTGCATAGATGGGCGGAGAAGACCGGGATTGGGGACAGGGGTGATGGAGATGCAACCACTCAAATCTGTGGAACAGTCTCATCGAAAGGCACCGTCAGGTTGATTCAGGGAACGTCTAAAATGTTTTGTAATCAGCACCATGTATCTTCACCTGCCAGTCTCTGTATGATGGAGAGCTGGCGTTTGGGCTCTCTCACCTTCCACTCGACGCGCACCTTGTCGCCGTCCACCTCCACCAGGCCGCTGTACAGCTCCGCCTTGGACGCATGCCATTGATCCACGGCGCGCCGTACGCACGCGGATAGCTGCTCGATCGTTCTCGACTGTGGATTCTGCAACCACAGGTCGCCGCTGGCGGTGGGACCGTGCTTGAGTACCATGCTTAGATCGTCGATCAGCGACTGCTTGGCGGCTATCTGCGCGGCAGTCATGTCCAGCGCTCTGGCCATGTAGACTAAGTTGAGAGGATGGTAGCGCTGCATCTCCGGTGTCCACGGCGCGTTGACACGGGTCAGGTCCTCCACAGGGTTTCTGGACCGGCCCAGCATGAACTCGCCCATCTTCTTCTCAGGGTCACGGAGCACGTACAGATAGCCTTCGGTGGTCCGGCTGCTCGGCGGCTGATTCTCTGATCTGGCATCCTCACCGCTCTGTCTCTTCGGAGACATCGGGAGTGGTGACTTCTCATAGATTTCGCTATCGCTGCTATCGTCATCCATGATTCTTTCGCTCGGAGTATGATATTTTACCCTCTGCCAACTACCAGAATACCTACTACAATTGGTCCTCCACCCCCTTTCGTAGAATTGCGGTTGCCAACAAATCGAAGTGAGACTCGGCGCGCAACAGCTCAGAACCAGTCTCCCAGTCTTACTCTACGCTAGAAAAGTGTCACTCCACGGGTGTGTTCATGAACATGTCCATTGAGCGTGATCTCCAGAAAGAAATTATGTGGAGCTGGGACCAGTTCCTTGCTCACACTGTATATGAATGGTGGTCCAGTCCGCGAAACCAGACCAAACCTCCTGTCCAATGTCAGTAATACCAGCGTAGCAAGACGTTACATACATACACCTTACACACATACACCAGGCACGTCGACGGCAGCGTTGGTTCCACGTAGATCTACGTGCGGATGGAAAGCAAGAATGCACGCGCTCGTGTGACAGCGGAGTGAATATCGTCTGCGATCTGAAAAGGTGCGTTACAGCTGTGTCTACCAGCGAGCTGTGCTGCTCGCTAGCCCGGCTCGGCTTTCCGGGCTTGCAGGACAGCTTGTAAACAGTGCAGAGTCTCGAGACCCCTTCACTGCGGCCTCATCTCGTCCCTATCAAGCGGATGCAACCGTGCAGGGTAGATCCACGGAGAAATCGGCGGCGTAAATACTAGTTATTCATTCTACGTGCTATAATACTGGTACTGCTATAGACTAAAATTTTAATGAATGTTTAGTAGTAGTAGCAAAACGTATTCCAATCAACTATTCAATTAAACACACGGAGAGTTTTTAAATGCGTGTTGGGCTCGGATCTTCAGCAAAATGAAAACACAATTTGATCACGGGCAGATTTCATGTACATCAAGAGCAGATAAACACATAATAAGGTGATAAAATCTCTCACACATAATGTAGGCAAATGATTTTCGCAAATACTCGTGTGTTGGTTGGTCCAGTGGCAAGAGATCCTTAGACCTTACTGGTAGATGTCATGTACATGGCATAGCAGGTAACCGTACGCAGATCTGCGCGGCACGAGCAATCCTAATAAAACTGACAGACATCGCTTGCGCTTACAAGCAGCAGCTTGCTAGATGCGTGTTACTTCGAAAGGGGGCTTTCTTGGCCAAAACCATTGTGGGATTCGCAGCTGGTGCGACATCATCGCGGTAAAAGGTGGCGGAAGACCTTGAGACAAACACCAAGCAATCGAACCATTCCTGCCGCAAAGAGAAAGGTGATGTGTTTCACTCCCGGACAGAGATAACAAGGAGGAAGTCAACTAGCAAGAGGAGCCATCTGGCATTCGCACTTCGATGCGACAAGTTCGACACCCTCGTACAGCACTGTCGTCTGTCTTGATTCAGGTACATGACAATCATGTATTCTGTGCATGAACATTAAAAAATTTTAGGACCTGGTGCTCTTTTGCAATACGGTGAAACCTGTCTAAGACGACCGCTCATGGGACCTTTACAAGGTGGTCTCTGTTACCAGGTGGTCTCCTTATCCAGGGTCAGTTGACTGGAAATAGCATCCATTGGTCGTGGTTTTTGTGATCTTCTAGGACAGGTGGTCGCCTTGACAGGTTGTACTGTACAGTGAAACCTGTCTAAGACGACCGCTCAAGGAACATTCAAAACGTGGCCTGACTCCCTGTAAACCAGGTTGTCTCCTTATCCAGAGGGTCATTTGACTGGAATAGCATTCCTTGGTCCTGGTTGAATTGATCCCCATTTCGCTGTGGATTACTTTCATTCTTAGGGTATCCCGTAAGAAGACCTTGAGTCTGTGGGGACTGCCCTATTAAAATATGAATAAATAATAGTAATAGTAATAATAATCTTCTAGGACAGGGGTCTCCTTATCCGAGTGGCCGCTTTGGCAGGTTTTACTGTTCAGGTACATATCTAGAGTCTTTACGGCTTCGTTTGGATGGCTATTGCTGCATTACAATTCTGCGTCCACTTCACCACCACAACCATTGCGTTCTGCGGCCGACCACGTTCATTTCCTACTACAGCAACAAGAAGCTCCTTCAGTACTGAGCATATTTTTTAATTCCTTCTGACAGCTGTTTCGGGCAATTACCTATATAATAATACTCTCTTACTTTCTTGTTGCATTATAATTCGAGAAACAAACGAGCAGATGTGCCACATAAAAACGTTACGAATGCAGTAATGACGTTTTAAAGATGATCATGAAAACTACAGTATTTAAAATGGCAAAATGAATATTATGGACGGGACGGGGGAAGGGGGCAATCACACGAGTGGATGGGGCATCATAATATCAGGAAAAGGTGACGCAAGTTAGTTAGAAGTTGTCGAAGTATGCATGCGCGTGCGCCTGTGCCCTTCAGGGGGGGGGGGGGGGTTCCGGGGGCCTCCCGCGGGAAAAAATTCAAAAAATGATGCAAAATCCTGCATTTTGACCGAATAAAGAGGGTTCCGGGCACCCAGGAACCCATACGGGGCACGCGCCTGGTATGACACAATGTATACAATTAGTTTTACCGTATAGACCGCTCTCCACCTTCCTAGCCCCGCCACCATCCCCTCTATATAACTTCATTCTCACATTCGCTTCCATGTATTTTAAAAAGAATTACACACAAATACAAAGAGCGAGGTGAGAACGCATTCGCCAGTCAGTATGTGACAAGGTACAAGTCAGTATGTGACAAGGTACAAGTACAGTCATGTACACTGGAATCGTGTCTGACATCACACTCGTTTGGAAAACATGGCACCGTACATGCACCATTGTATTGTATTGTATTGTATTGTATTGTATTTATTTAAAAGGATTCTCCAAAAGCAAATGGATGCTTATCACGGAAGTCTCCCACATAAATATCGCAAGAAAAATGGGGAAATGGGGAGAGGAGAGTGGAAGATGAAGCATGGGAAGAAGGGAAACAAGTGGGAGTGGCAGTTTGGCTAAAAAAAGTAAAATGTTTTTACTGTGCTATTATGATAATTGCGACGCCGTATCATCGTGCTCAGGTACTCTAATGGCCTAGGCGAGTGCCCGCATGGGTTCTTGCGTGCCCGAAACCCCCCTTTTTTCGCTCAAAATGCAGGATTTTGCTTAATTTTTTGAAAATTTTCTCGGGAGGACCCGGTACCCCCCCCCCGCCCCCCTTGTAGGGCACCAGCGCACGCGCCTGTGGGCGATTCATCCCGCGTACGGGAAAGCCATCGCGCGACCGTCGCGCGATGACTTTCCCGTCCGCAAAATAGTTGAGCTCAGATCAACTTTTTGGCGATGCGATGCTTTTCCCGTACGCGAAATGAAGTATGAATCGGCCTCGCGGCCGTTATATGCAAGGAAAAGGACTACCAACTGTAAACTAGAGAGGGAACTGACGGAATCCTGGCATCGGTCCTTGGGTCCGATTACAATTCAAGCGGCTCACATCACACATAGGCACATGCATGCCGAGGGCACACATGCATACACACTGGCACAGGAACACTCACGGACGGACACACATACAGACACATGCACGCGCGCGGGCGCGCGCACACACACACACATCATCATCATCATCATCATCATCATCATCATCACGGTCCTGGACATTGTGTTTCACTACCTAAGCTGAGGGGTCGAGAGACGAAATATATATCAATGCGTAGCAGGTACCGGTAAGTTGAGTATGCATGGTACGTACACTCTACAGCCAGCCCTGTGTCCGGCGACGCAGCCTATACGCTTGGTGCTGCTGTGAAGCTAGAACCGTCTTTCTGGACCTGCAGAGCCAGCCACCGGCACTTCAGTATGCCTTGCAGAATATCATTGGGACCTGCTTCCTTGAAGATATTGAAACATGGCCGCTTGTGATTGTCAGCTACCAGGGGGGTTGTCCAGTGGGTGGGAATGTCAGGATCGCCACATGCGGACTGCGCGTCAGTGCGCGAACAGCAATACATAATTTTATCACATGGCACGTGATTGTTGCCCGTACTCCAGCGAATCAGCACCTTTCGCGCCGCGGGCAATAATATGCGATATTGCCCGCAAAAAAATTGTTTATTTGCCCGCAAAAAAATAGTTTATTTCAGTGATCGCGGGACTACGAAGACTGTAGACTCTACGACTCTACGACGAGTCGCAGTGTAGCATTGAGAAGATGGAATTCTTTTTGGAGATGGACATCCCGGCAATGGACATGGCCTCGGACGTCTGCCGTGTGGTGCTTGCAGGGATCATTTGTTCAGTCATGTTGGCAGCCTGACCGTCGGTAAGCTTGTGGATAAGATTCAGTTCTGCTCGAAGTGGTACTGTGATCACAAACAATTATTTGAAATAACACAAATTCAACTCAGCGTCGTGCGTTTTCAGATCCTCGCAAAGTCACTGCCTGTGTGTGGTCTTCATGTGCCACGCAAAACTCTTACCAGGCTCATATGTCCTCTGCCTTCACCTTTGCTTGAACAACAAACACAACAATTCAGGAATGTTTTGCAATGAAAAACACAGCTATCTGGAGCTGAAAAAAAGAAGAAAAATTGTCCTCAGAATTGCACACCAGGGAGTCGTCAAATGCTTGCACTTGTTGCAGTACTGTATTTGACAACTTCCTGATACACATGTAAACATGAAGAAACTCTTTGTGGTAGCACTCTTTTTAATTTTTCAACTGAAATTATGATTCTGCTGTATTTTATTGTCGTTGCCATGTCTATTGCTATGACGATGCGGTGCCGGCACTTTTTTTCTGTCTCCGTCTTTCAGTGCTGTATACTCTCTGATGGCCTGTAGCAGACTTTTGTTAGGGTGTAGGAGAAATATCTTCATTTTTCCTGTTTTGATAATGATAGCACATCAATATACATTGTGGTCATAATGTGTTGGCATTTGGGCTAATTTCAACAGCAGCCCAATGGTCTGCTCTGTGGGCCATGTGATAAATTTGTTATAGCATGGTTGCTGCGGGCCTTATGGCATATTATTGCCCCTCGAGGTTAGCCCTCGGGCCTACGGCCCTCGGGCTAACCTCTCGGGGCAATAATATGCCATAAGGCCCTTGCAACCATGCGATAACATATACATATTCCTCGCAATGTCTTGTGGACGTTGAAAACTGTGCGCACCGGGTTCACAGGTGAGGGACTTCGCTGCAGCTCCATACGGAAGCGCGGAAGGCATCAGGGCATTTAACCCGCCACTTCTACTGATCCTGGACAATTGCACTGAGCTGCTAAAGAGGGACACACACAAAAACACCCAGAGAAACACACATTATGTGCAGACACGCACCCCCCCCCCCCACACACACACGTGCACCCACACACACGTGCACCCACACACACACACACACACACGCACCCCCCCCCCCCCCGAAACACACACGCACCACCACCACACCCCCCCCCCCTCCCCGAAACACACACACACGCACCACCACACCCCCCCCCCCCCTAAAAACACACACGTTCACACACACAATACAAACTCAGAGGTAACATATGACGTACACCCGCGCTCTCTGACACAGCCAGCAACACCAACGCTTGGTACAAAATATCGACTTTTCGCATGGGACAATAATACCCGATCGCACCTCCATACAGGCAGGCTTACATTGAATCAAGTTGTACAAAGTCCAGTATATACAGTAATTACGGGTGAAACGATTACACTTTTCAGCTATCGGTTAACCTATCCTTGTGACGATTCGATTATCGATTATGATATCGATAATTCGGTACGATCCACGCCAAACCCAGAGTGCTGACACACAGAAGTAGTCAGGAGGTATTGCAACATAGTTAAAACATCTTCCAATTGCAGAACAGTTTGCTCTCGGCAAGCGTGGCAGAGAAACAAAAATATTATTCATTTATAGCCACCAAGAGCGGAGTGATAAGACTTAAAATAGGTCAGCATAGACACCTTTCTGCGATTTATGATAAGAAAGACAAACATCATGACATTGTCACTGATACACACCTCTAGAGACCAGCTCTTAAAGAGGAGCGTTCATAATTCAAGAAAGATGGCTGAACACTTCTATAGCGGGTTCAAGGATAGAGAGGCATAGAGGCATGGGGGACGTCAGCGGAGTAGCGTAGGCAGGGGGATGTCTGCAAATCGGCGGGGGTATGGGGTTGGGTATGTCAGCAAAACAGCCACTCAATAATATGTAACAGGATAACGTTGTTCAGCAGAAAACACAGGTGGGTGGGACAGACAGTGACAGTGAGCAGATGAGCCAGAAAACGTCAAGATAAACTCTCACAGCTAAGCGCATGTATGTAAAGACAGACAAAGAAGACAAGACAGACAAATATACATGGACGTACTCGCAGAAGTGTGTGTGTGGGGGGGGGGGGGGCACATGATGACACACACAAACAAACACACGCACAGACGAGTGTGTGTACACACACACACACACACGCACACATAGACCAGAGTGACCAAACAAACACACACACACACACACACACACACACACACACACACACACACACACACACACACACACACACACATACACACACTGATGAAGCATACATGTGCAGACATATACAGATATGCACGAACATCCACACGGTAACGGATAAACCCCCGGACACCTGCCCATACACACACACACATACATACTCTCTCTCTCTCTCTCTCTCTCTCTCTCTCTCTCTCTCTCTCTCTCTCTCTCTCTCTCTCTCTCTCTCTCTCTCTCTCTCTCTCTCTCTCTCTGTCTCTCTCTGACTCTCTCTGTCTCTCTCTCTCTCTCTCTGTCTCTCTCTCTCTCTCTCTCTGTCTCTCTCCCTGTCTCTGTTTCTCCTTCTTCCTCTCACTGTGCATGTGAATATGAACAGCAGCTGCTGCAGAGTCAGTTGCGAGTCAACACACACTCATTCATCATCTCACGTATGCACACATCTCATTGTATCGAGTTCAAGCTCAGCTCCCGTCGCAGTGCAATTTCACGACGGCGTACCCGCTCGGCATCCCGTGCCCTCTCCGCCTTCGTCTTTCTCAGCTTCGGTGGCTTGCTACGATCGAGCCTGGTCTCATCCAACTCGTTAGCTTTGAAATGCGTGATCCGGCGGACAGTTTCTTCGCGGGGAGCTTTCTGACCCAGTCCTGCACGGCTACGTTTCAGTGCTGTGCTCACAGGCAGCTTACGTCCGTCCTCGTGTGGACCCAGGCCACGTTGCGGCTGCCAGCCGTTGCGCACCAACAGCCGATAGCCGCGGTTGTGAGCGGGAATCTCGTAGAACGTCGGTGGTCGCTCGTCGCCGTGCTCGTGCACGTTGAGGCGGTGCACCGTCGATGCCAGGTGACTCTCCTGCTCGCCGTACGCGAACTCCAGCTTACACAGGTCGCACTGCACGATGCGCTCTGCGTCCGAGTTAGCATGCTGAGCCTGCTCCGTATCATCACTGTGTCCTCCTGTGGACACGGTGCATCGTGGAGAAGTCTCCATTTCACGCCGGTGTGCATCCAGCAATGATACCACGTCGGCATGCTGGGACTGTGCTGCTAGATGGCGTGCAGTTCGTCCTTTCTTGTCTGCAACGTTCCACCAGTGAAGATCCGCGTTGCTTGCGTTAGTGACACTGTACCCACTACTCCCTGTACCAGTGGTGTGTACGTGTGGGGTTTGCACTTGTGACTCAATGTACATGTTATGACACTGCAGGAGTGTGCGGACAATCTCTACATTGCCTGAGCAGCTGGCCGACATCAGGGGAGTCCAGCCAAACGCATCGCGGCGCAGCAGCACACCGTATGCAGCCACTTTCAGGCGATCGTCACACAGTATACGATTCACTGCCGCCGTGTCACCGTTCTGGCAAGCTTTGAAAATCTCCTCCAAGCTGATGGACGCAGCACGAGCTCGCCGCTTTGCTCTCCGAGAAAGTTTACTGCACTCCTCTGACTTCAAGGCACGTTGGAAAACAGCGTCGCAGCCATCGTTCACCGTTGATGCTTCTGCTGTGGTTGAGGAGCTTGTAAGATTCTCGTAGAAATTCTTAGCTTCATCACCAGTGAATGATACATCGTCCAAATCACCACGTCGCTGACTGCGAGACGTTGATGGCGAGCAATGGTCTCCATCGGCAGCAGGTTTGAAGTTGATGTAAAGTAAACTCGACATTGTAATCCATTATCAAATTTCGCAAAGTGAATGAAGCACCAAAAGGCAAAACTCAAAACACACAAAAACTCCAATCTCACAAACAAAGCTGAACAGCCAGCTGCATGCAGAACGTTTGAATCACGAAGTAGACTGACGTCACAATGACGTTCTTTACGATTTTTTGTTCAAAAGATTTTTGGAAGGGGAGCGTACTAGCGTGACGTAATGACTTCTTTTTTTTTTCCTGGTCCAAAGCCTCTTTTTAATACGGGCAAGATTAAAATTAAAAGCAACACAATGATGAGAAAACAAGAGGGGTAAACACAATACTGACTCACTTTATCAAAGCTGTTGACTCACGCATACACACACACACACACACACACACACACACACACACACACACACACACACACACACACACACACACACACACACACACACACACACACACACACACACACACACACACACACACACACACACACACACACACACACACACACACACACACACACACACACACACACACACACACACACACACACACACACACACACACACACACACACACACACACACACACACACACACACACACACACACACACACACACACACACACACACACACACACACACACACACACACACACACACACACACACACACACACACACACACACACACACACACACACACACACACACACACACACACACACACACACACACACACACACACACACACACACACACACACACACACACACACACACACACACACACACACACACACACACACACACACACACACACACACACACACACACACACACACACACACACACACACACTACTACTACTACTATTGACAGCTGCCAGAAATGGCCACGCCGCTCCCCAAAGGGAGGAACTGTCAGAGAGGTTAGGGGGGAGGAAGGCAATGCTCCAAGTGGCGTTCCAGATCTTGCCGCCTCCGGAACCGTCGGTTGTGGCAAACTTGGCAGTGAAACTTGAATTGTTGGCGTTCAGCCACAGTAGGGCGCTTTGGACAGGTTCCACAACGGTGACGCTTGAGACCCGCAGCCGATTTAAATGAACGCTGACAGTTCGTGCAAGTTACACCAGGAACAACAAGAGGAGCAGGGGCAGGGGCCGGCGGCTGGTCGACATCGCCTAGCCGACACTTATGCACCGCAAAGCCTCCTCTGCTACGTAGCCATCGGTTGCATGTTGGACACTGTACTGATCCAGGCTGCTCCGATACCGGGAGCTGACGGATTGCTGAACACTTGTGACGGACCATGTCGGAACTACGGCGGAACAGACGGTTGCAGGTTGGGCACTCGATGCTCTTCGGGGCGGGTTCCTTGTCCTCACCTGCTGCTGTCACCACTCCACGCCACTCTCCACGATCGCTTGCCAACTCAAACCAGTTACGCACTCCAGCCACGGATAGGTCCGTGTGAATGGTGTCCTTCCAGCGACGACGAGGTCCACAGAATGGCCGAGACTGAGGGAGACAGGCAAACAGCAACTGCTTCGGTACTCTGGTGTCATCAAGACGAGCCAGGTGCCCAAGCCACTCCAACCGTCTCTGCTGCACCATGCGTGACAATGGTGTGGGATCACCCCACTGTGCTCGCAGTTCTTGTGAAGAGATGCGCTGTTCCCACTGTCGGCCTCGCGATACGCCAAGGATGGAGCGAATGTTGGCATGGTGAAACCGGTCCATTCTATCTAAATCTGCCTTCAACGGCGTCCAGCATTCTGAACCATACAGAACCGTTGACAGTACGCAAACGACATACAGGTGGCGCCTGGTAGGGAGGTTCAGGCTCCGGTCATGTAGGATGCGCCGAAGACCACCAAAGGCCCCTGCACCCTTTGCTAGACGGCTCCGAATGTCCGCTTGCGACCGCGAGTCTGGAGTGATGGTGGAACCAAGATAGGGGAATGAGGTGACTGCTTCAACCCTATCACTGCCAATGACCAAATCAGAGCAATCAGCAGGGCAAACTCCGAAACCTGCAACGAGAAGCTTGGTCTTGGTCATGCTCACTGTGAGACCCAAGCTGGATGCGACCTCACAAAAGGCACACAGGGATTGATCGGCTGCGTTGCGAGTTGTAGCGAGCAGTACAGCATCATCCGCAAACTCGAAGTCATCAGCATGGCCGGACTCGGAGTGGGGACGACGCCTAGTGACACGAGGGAACAGCTGGCCATCAATTGTGAAGCTGAAGTCCACACCAGACTCTATTCCACGCTCAACGAGAAGGGATCGCCAACGCTCAATAACTAAGCCGAAGTACAAGTTAAACAGTACAGGTGCCATAACGCACCCTTGGCGCAGCCCATTCTTGACAGATATCGGATCCGTGCAACCACCGGCAACGCGAACGCAAGCTGACATGTCTGTATGGAATGATTTGATGATGGCCACAGTCGGGGGCGGCACACCCAGCCGCAGCAATGCCTGCCAAAGAGCTTCGCGAGGGACAGAGTCGTATGCTTTGCGGAGATCCACAAATACGCAGAAGAGCTTCGATCGATGTTCGTACGACTTCTCGACAAGTTGACGGACAGAGAAGATGGCGTCCGCACAACCACGGTGCCGCCGAAACCCGCATTGGGATTCAGGCAGTTCCGCCTCAGCAATACCTTGCAATCGGTTTTGCATGATCCGAGCAGCCAACTTGCCGACAACCTCCAGCAATGCGATCCCTCGCCAATTATCGCAACGAGAGAGGTCGCCCTTCTTTGGAATCGGTACCAGCAGTGCATCGCGCCAGTCCTGGGGCACGCAACCCCCCGACCAGACAGATTGGAGTAGGTCCAGGAGGAGTGGATGGAGGACAGGCACACCAACCTTCAGCAGCTCCGGCACAATCTGTGACATACCACCAGCTTTGCCATTCTGTAGGTGCCTAATTGCCTGAGTCAGCTCATCCTCCGATGGTGGCAGTGAGAGGGAGTCCTCGACCTCACGCTGAGGGATAAGTTGGAAGACATGCGGATCGTACACACTGCAGACATTCAAGACACCCGAGAAATGCCCATGCCACGTGCCCTGCTGCTCCTGAACAGATTCGCAAAGAACTCCATCGGCATTGCGGATGGATTGGACAGACAGGGGTTGCAAGCCCCCAAAGCAGCGTTGCATGTCGCGAATGGCAGACCAGACAGCTTTGCCACTGAAACGTCCACGGTGCACCACCGCCGCTTTGTCCATCAACCAAGTTGTTTTTGCCTTCCGGATACCAGTACGAGCCCGGCCACGCGCTTCTTTGAATGCCCGGTGATCAGAGTCCCTGCCGCTTCTCAGCCATTGGCTATACAGGGTATTACGAGACTCCAGTAGAGGCTCCAATACAAGGGCATTGTCACGGAACCAATCTGGCATCCGCCGCTTGTCCCGACCAACCACCTGCTCCGCCGCGTCAACAACAGCCGACTTCACGGTACTCCACTTACAGTCCACAGACGAGGCGCGGTCATACGTGGCTAAACGAGATTCAAGACTAGCACAGTACTCAGCACGTACAGTAGCCACACGCTCAGCCTCCTCTTCACTCATGAATGGCTTCCGATTGAATTGGTGAACAGCAAACTTCCGCGGCCTGGAACGTGCATCATGATGGTACCGTTGCTGCACAACGTCAGGTAGCCGGTATTTCATGCGGACAAGACGGTGGTCTGTGCTACACTCTGCAGTGCGCATCACTTGACAGTCCATGCAACGTTTACGGTGTTGTTGGCGTACGAACACATAATCTATACAATGCCACTTCTGTGATCCAGGGTGTTGCCAGGTGTACATGTGAATGCGTTTCTTGGGAAACAGTGTGTTACATACTGTGAGCTGTTGACACGCCAAGAATGTGAGTAGTCGATGACCAGCATCGTTCACATCACCAACACCATGTGATCCATGCACTCCCTGCCACATCTCTAGTTGCAGTGGGCCAAAACCAACACGAGCGTTGAAATCCCCCAGGACGATGACGTCATCAGCAGAGTTGACATCGCTGAGAGCAGACTGGAACTGAGCAAAGAACTCTTCCTTGTCAGCATGGGGGGATCGAAACGTAGGAGCGTAACATGAAATCACTGACATCCACCCGTGCTCAAATCTCAACCTGGCCGTCACGATGCGCGACGAGACGGGCCTCCACTGGCAGCCTGCACGTTCAAATGCCTGCTTGGCCCTCCGACGCAGAACCAGCGCAACACCCTCGCCACGACGAAAATTTTCGTCAGGTACGGGGCGACCAGAGGCGAGTACAATCGAATCGCCGATGTTGAAAGAGTCTCTCCCAAACCATTTGGTTTCCTGCAGGCCAGCCACTTCCACGTCAAACCTGGACAGCTCACGGATAACCAAGTCGATCTTTCTGTCCTCCACGACGGGCACAAAATTCAAATTTTCAAAATTCACTCGTCTCTTTGCCGTCTCGACCGGTCCGTCATTGTTGACCAGAGTGCGGACGTTCCAAGATCCAAAGGCCAATGTTCGCAGCCTTCCTCTCCTCCGCCTTCCTGACAGTACTCTCTGAGCTTCGCAGTTTGGAACCATTCGGGGGTCAGCTACACCACCGCGAATGGAGAGGCGAGGACGACAACGGTCGTGACAGAAAAGAAACTGCCCTGGCGACCGCGCCGCGGAACCCTCGCCCCAGGAAATTTAGGAACACGCCAGGGGCGACTCTGGTGAACCCAGAGCCACCCCGTGGCCTAAGACTAGTAAGAAGAACGACGGAAAAAACTCAGATAAATCGGAGCTACAAAAAGTGCAACCGTCCCCTTCAAACACAAGGGACACACACACACACACACACACACACACACACACACACACACACACACACACACACACACACACACACACACACACACACACACACACACACACACACACACACACACACACACACACACACACACACACACACACACACACACACACACACACACACACACACACACACACACACACACACACACACACACACACACACACACACACACACACACACACACACACACACACACACACACACACACACACACACACACACACAC